CATCAAGCCATAGTTAAAACATTTTCATTTTTGGAGGTCATTTAGGTCATTAGAGGTCGTAAGAGGTCATTAGAAGGTCAAACACTGGATTTTTTGCTGCTACTGTATTCCCTGGGTCCCTAGCTTTCGTTTGATGTGCATAAAGCCATAGTTGAAATATTTTCTATTTCTGGAGGTCATTAGAGGTCATTAGAGGTCATTAGAGGTCATTAAAATTAAATTTGATTTTATTTTAGGAATTTCGATCACTAATTAGGCGTGCACCCAAAAAATTGGAAGATTTGAACCAAAAATGAAGGCAGGGCCCCCCCCCCCTACATCAAATGTGCCAACTCCACCATCCCCTTTGATTAAAAAACGACAAATATGAAAAATAAACAGACAAATAAGACAAATAGACGTATACTCAGACAAATAGGACAAATAAAAGACAAGATATATGATGTTCTGGGGAAAAATTAAAAATTGGATATCATAAGGCAGTTTTTGATGACAAAACATACCTTACATCCGGAGAAAAAATAGATGACACCCCTGGAGAAATAGACAAATAACAAGACAAATAGACAGACATATGAACATTAAATCTAACCTGTTTCATAAGGTTCTCTACAGCATCCTGAGGTATACTAGTAGCTGTTGTCTGTGACATAGCTCCTTCCATCACAGAGGTTTGTACATCCAAATCTTCAAACTCCTTCTCAAACTTGTCCATCAGAGTCGAGATCTTCTCCAGGTTCATGGACTTCATAGCAGCAGACATACCCTGAACAACAGTTTAAATAAGATCCAACCCAACCATAGGCTTCATAGCAGCAGGCATTCCTAGAACAACAGTTTAAATAAAATCCAACCCAACCATAGGCTTCATAGCAGCAGACATTCCTAGAACAACAGTTTAGATAAGATCCAACCCAACCATAGACTTCATAGCAGCAGACATTCCTATAACAACAGTATAGATAAGATCCAACCCAACCATAGACTTCATAGCAACAGATATTCCTTAAACAACAGTTTAGATGCAGACATACCCAAAATAACAATTGAGCACATATTTGTGCCCTGAAAAAAAGATAAATCACTAAATTTATTTAAAATTCAGTGATGGACCAAACCTCTGTAGAGTAAAAAAGTAGATGTTAGTTCCACATTTATTGAAAATATATTTCGGTCTGGGTTGACCCTCGTCAGTTCTAACGATATAATAACCATCGAAATCGATAAAAAAAATAAAAAAATGTAAAAATCACAAGAAGATAAACAAACTCACCCACTTAAAAAATGTACACCAATTTAATTTGGATGGTTTAAGCTAGACTGGATTCAGGGGACCTCGAGCGATGCTGATAGGACATGTTGGAGGAGGAGAAACGGAACTTAGAAAACCACAAATATTTACCTTTACTACTCCTTCCATTGATTTGGTGACCTTCCTAGTTGTTACAGCTGACTGTACACGACTAGCTGTAGCGTCAACTCGTGCTGACATCCGTAGGAAGTTCAACGACTGGTTCTTCTGTCTAGAATATTCAAAAATTACCGCTTAGAATTTAATTTCATGAGTTAGATACTAGCTTAAGTGTCCTGTGATGCCCTTGGAATAAAAAACACTTGGGAAAAAATTCGAATTTTGAAATTAAAAAAAAACTTAGATTTTTTTGCCTATGTACCCACAGGGTACCCATGGGGTTCCTAAAAAAATGTCAACTGATTTGGTCCAGCCGTTATCAAAATAATAAAACAAGACATTCGTATATAAGTTCTCTATAGCCAGCCAAACGGCTGGACCGAATGAGCTGAATTTTTTGTGAACACTTATGGGTGGCCGGGGAGTGTCATAGGCAAAGAAATTTTAATTTTTACTTACAATTTTTTTAGAACATTTTTTCCCTTTAAATTTAAAAAAAAATATTTTTTACCATGGCCAACGACTAGAGTTAAATAATGACATGATTCGGGAAATTACCATTTTTTCAGAAACATTTGAATTAGGAAAATGGTTAAAAAGCCACCTAATTGCGTTTTCAGCATGGATCTTCGCCACCTCCATATTCCCCTTCTCTATAGCCTTCTTCAACTTCAGTTTCTCTACCTTCTCCTCCTTAAATTGATTGTAAGCGTAAGTAATCTTCCCTGCAAAGACGGTAAAGCTGGATTCACATTAAAAACTGCTGATCAAGTATTAATTGAATATTAATTTTGAAAACTAATTATTTTCAATTGAGGTTTCTCTACAAAAGTGATCTGTGCTTTTTACACTTTTAAACCTAGAAAAATAACAATATCTTTCACATTACTGGTCATGTAAAGGTTTTAATGGTACCGTTGTGAATCGGGCATTGTCATCTTTGCGTGGTGGTAGCTTGAAATTGGGCTTACACTCCTTTTTCAGGGTTTGCAGACGATATTTTAAATAGGCAATTATTTTAGAAAATTCCAATGTGGACAGTTTTTTTAATTATGTCAATTTATAATGTTTTAACTGGGTATCGTTAAATTAATTCTCATTTTTTGGGAAACTTTGTTTTCATGTATTTTCATTTTTCAAATAATGCTGAATGGTGATTTACCGTTGCTAAAATCGGATAAGTTTCAAAAAATATATTTGTCCCATTTCCAATTATTTATCAATCAAAGTGAATATTAATAGCGTGTTTATAAACCAGGGACAACAAGGAATAAATTAATTTATGATGAATAAATTAATCATAGGATCAGAGGGGTGTTAACAAAAGTCTGTGGAGGATGTTTAACATTTTATTCTCCCATTTTCAGGGAGCTCAGCCTCAGACAACTGGGGGGCTGAATTTCTCCTGGACACTATAGGTTTCCTCTTTTTTTCAGGGGGGGGGAGGGGTGTCATTTGGCTTCCTATATAGGATATAGTCCAAAGTAATCTTGTCTCCAGTTTTTATCTGATTGCAAACAATCTATATGATTAGATGATATCCTAGAATAATCTGAATCCGTTTAGAAAGTTCAATTATATAAATTACTTTTGGATCGTTAACCCTGATCTTTAATATCTTCCAATAAAATCCAACCCAACCATAGGCTTCATAGCATATTAAAACACACACAAATATTCAACATTTTTAGGGATTTGATCAGTGCTTAGGGTTAGGATCCATTTCATTTTGATCAGGACCCCCCCCCCCTGTTGTAATGTTAAAATTTAATGAATCGTTTAGAGATCTCATATATTAGTTAACAGTTGAGATTTGTGTTGAGAACAGACGTTAATCTTTTAATATTTGTAATTTTCCCCCTTGGATCCGAATCTATGAACTGTAAAAATTCGGAATATCGAAATTCTAAAAGCATTTCGAAATCACGCATATTTTTTAATGAAAAGAATATATAATTAATTAATTAATAGACATTTTTATATATCCTAACATTCTTCTCAAATTTTAGAACGAAATTCTCGTAATTTCGAACAGAATGCTTGTAATTTTTAACAGAATATTCGTAATTTTGAACAGAATGTTCGTAATTTTCAACAGATTGTTCGTAATTTAGAACAGAATGATCGTAATTTCGAACAGAATGTTTGTGATTTCGAACAGAATGATCGTTATTTCGAACAGAATGTTTGTAATTTCGAACAGAATGTTCGTAATTTCGAACAGAATGATCGTAATTTTGAACAGAATATTCGTAATTTAGAACAGAATGTTCGTAATTTCGAACAGAATGATCATAATTCCGAACAGAATGTTTGTGATTTCGAACAGAATGATCGTTATTTCGAACAGAATGTTTGTAATTTCGATAAAACGAAAAAAATGGGGTTTTTCAAAAAGTTTAGAAATCAAATAAAATCAGACTTTTCGGAAGGTCCTACTATCCACGACTCAATCTTTACTAAATCAAACTGTATCACTTCACCGCTTTTTTATGTATTTGTTGATTGATAATATTTCAATTTTGCAATGCGTAAAATCAGTTTATGAATTATGCTTTATATTTCTTCACTTTTATTGCACAATTTTGCAAGTTTTTAATAAGGTTATAGTAGGTAGCTTATGTTTATGTATGGATTATTTTCAGGACTTGTGGCGGAGTAAATAAGAACATTTCAGATCATTTTTATGATATTCATCAGGGTAAATATCACGTACACAGTATTATCTAGCACTCAAATTGAAAAATAAAGAACTTTATTTTTCATTGATCGCTTTTTTATTCGTTAATTTTTTTGTTTTTTATTCGACATTTTCTAGCCTTCTTTAGTTTTCTTTAAAATCTTTTTGGCTCTTTTAGTCCCAATACTTACCTAGACCAGATTAGATTTTTTACATAATTATCATATCTAGATTTATAAGTATTTATTTTATGAGTATTCAAGTCGAACTCAGAAATAATTATTATTATTCTAACCTTGTCGCATTTTTTACTACTTCTCTCCAGTTCCTTGGCGGCAAACTTGAGATTAAATAGATTTTTCTCCATACTTGCCAGGGACATTTTATAATATCAAGACAATTTTTCTGCAACAAAATTTGTTCAATATTATATAATTTAGCTTTTCTTCATATAATACAATAAAATTGATAAAAAAAAATGAATGATTAATAAAATTACCCAAAAAGGTAACGAATTTATTGACAACTGAAAATTCTTTGAATACCTTTAAAGGAACTGAGTTCTTGCATCCAAATGATATGAATTCTGTTAAATCAAATAGTATAAGTTTGAAATATCAAAGATTTACAACATTTGAAATGTGGATTAGAAAATTTGAGTTTTTGGAGAAACAAAATCGTTCCTTCGGTTTCCTGTCTTGAAAATAGTATTTAAACGGTTCATTAAATAATTTGCCAAAGATAGAAGCGCAAGATGGGAGGATTTTATTCGTAAGGATGAATTATATGAAAATTAGTAAAATTTTAAACATAAGTGCGACATAATTTAGTTCCAATAAATCTTAGAAATTTAGCATTTGACTATAAATTTTTTAAATAATTACTTCATGATTTATAAATACATATACAGATATAAGATGAAGAGTTTGTAGGTTGGATACAACCATCCAACCAAATCTATTTAGTAAAATTGAAAATATTCGATGGACACATAACAACTATATAAAAGATAAATCCAACTTTTTGCAATATATTGATAGATGTGATATTTTGTAATTTTCGATTACAATCCTTTAAACAAAAATATCAATTCAAAATAATTTTATGTGATTTAAAATTTTGGAAAATTTAATTACTTCAACAACTTACCTACATAAACTTTCAGAATTTAATTTCTTATTGTCAGAAAATTTTAATTAAACAGCTTTAAAAAAGATTTAAACTTTAAATCCAAGAATAAGCTTTTAAAAGTATTAAACTAGGATAAAAGTTTCAGCAGGATAATATGTGATTAGTCCAGGTTAATCACCACAAGATAATATTTGATTAGGTCAGGTTAATCATCACAAGATACGAAAATCATAATTCCAATCCTTTTATTTTTATCTACGGAATGCGCTTGACTGCAATTATGTATTAGTCTTTTTACTTGAATACAAAGAAATGTGGAGATTTTCGATATAAATGTAAAAAAAATGTACACAAAATTGATCAATCTACTATATGAAGGAAAAAATAAAATTAGTAGAAGAAATTCTAAATTACCTAAAAAGTAAAAATATAACCCTGCATGATCAGACTAAAAATACTGACAGTGAGAAAAATTATATACTTTGTACGGTGCATTGGACATTAGACATATTATGCAAATATTTCTCTAAACACGGAACTTTTTACTTTTAAATCACAGAAGCTGAGCTCAAAAATCCGGGAACTCCTCAAAATCCCAGTCAGGGTCCCCAGTAAAGGCCTAAAAAAAATCAGTGTATTGAGAAAAATAATGATAAGATAAATATAATTTTCTAAAAATAGTTATCAGTGTTATTTATTACATTGTTGTTTAGATGAATTCAAAGACGACCTGTCAGATTTTATGTTATTAGTGGATTTAAATGTATTATGTGAACTTGAAATTATTAGATTAATTCAAACAAAGTTTAAATCTTTTGAATCAGCCAAATCGACTGAAACCAATATCGACAGCGAAAACTTTAAAATCAAATGATTAAATTTCTATTCTAGAGATATGCTAGAATACAGAAAGAAAAGTTATAAAATGATTTAAAGAGGTGGTTTTGTCGCAAGGGGGGAGGAGGACTGATTGAGTGAATTAGGTAAGGATTTAAGATACAAAAGTTATGACATCAGTTCAATGTTAAGTATGGAGGGATTAAATGCATTTTAATCTATTTCAAACAATTCATTTAAAGGCTGAAGAAACAATGCATTTAAAATGAACAAGTCAAAATACTCACAAGTTTGCATCTTTCAGTTTAGGATAACATCTTTACATATAAAATTCATCTCTGTTTGTCTGTCTGTCTGTTTGTCCGATCACAATTCATGAACCCTGGACCAGTTTGACTCAAATATCGATTGGGGAACTTGATTGGACCACTGGAATGTTCTGAGCTTGGATTAAAAATTCTGATTCAAGTGGGTCGACATTTATTGAGAAAGTTAAGAATTTAGAATCACGAGCCAACTAACTTATCATTGAGTTCGTGTCAATGTCAAAAAACAATTTAAAGGATGAACAAAAGAAATTTGGGTAAAATTTTTCAATTGTCAAATCTTGTTTTTATCCAGTTTGTTTCCGAAGCACCCGGTAGGATTTATACACATTGAAAAATTAGATCCCAGTTTTCAAAAAAAGAAAAAAATGATGATGTTCAAAACGAAGTTATTTCATCAATAAACAACAGAAACAATTTTCTTCAAATATTTTTAATTATTTTTTCCCAGGAAAGTTTATGATTCTTAAAACCTATAAGTATTTTGATTGAATCCGGAAGAGAAGCTGGGAATTTGAAATATTTGTGACATAACAATAAAAAACAATTTAATTTTTAATTTTATCCATTAAACTGAAGGTTTAATTTTCAGAGACCCTCATGTTGTAGAGCGGTAAGTCGGATTTACAACAGTACCCATAGCAACTTTGTCTGATTAACATCAAATGGATAACCATGTTTTTCTTCACATCTACAAATTGGAGATTTTCCACTGTTGTTTTTCTATAAAAATGCCTCGCGAATTTATTCTGCAGAAACAATAAAGAAAATTGTTAGAATTAAACACATTTTAAGCTAGATAAACGAGGATATCTTCCTCAATGTGGATATAATAAAAATGTAAAGGGTATCGTGAATCGGACAGGCCCCTCTAAAGAAAGGTCACTAAATCTGCTTTTATAAAATAGAATCTGATTCAGCCCCTCTGGAAGCATTTGTATTTTGATACGGATACTGAATCTGTTATCAGAATTTTGATCAATTATCTCAATTTAGTATTTCTCAATCAAAAAAATAGAGTGTTTGCCACAAACTCTTATTTCAAATCTCTATATTTTTGCAATACAATGCAATACAACAGCTCAATTACCTTTTGCCAGACCAACATTTATGGAATTGGGCACTTTTAACCCTGATCTATCAAATTGTATTTGTATATAATACAGACTGTCGAAATTGTTTGTATGTTTAGATGCGTGTTTCCTGAGTCCGAGAACCAGTGAAAACAGTAGTAGTTTCTACAATTTTTTAAAAAAATACCACGGGCAATGTAGGGTTTTTCTGTGTAGTGTGCTTTACCTTAAATCCAAAGTATGTTTAGTATGCTCCAGGAAGGAACATGATGCTACCCAGGAATATTACCTTGAATGCAAAGTATGTATGGTATGCTCCAGGAAGGAACATGATACTACCCAGGAATATTACCTTGAATGCAAAGTATGTATGGTATGCTCCAGGAAGGAACATGATGCTACCCAGGAATATGAGAGGCCAGAATCTATCTTGATAGTGAACCCCCTCAATATGTCCAGACACTGAAAATACAAGATTCATACATTGGTTACCTGATTACTGTGGAATGATTGATGCGTTCGTTCTTTAGATTTTGATAATAAAATTTAGAACCGGAGTTTGCAGTGTATGATAGTTATGTTTAAGACGCAGTTTTCTGAATATTATTCACAAAGTAGACAAACCCTAACGACTTCTCATAATTTTCAAGAATGAAAGAAGACGACGATCACTTGACTGTATTGTTATTGTTATGCAGGGTGGGGATATATGTCAAGTAGATGGTTTCAGGTTTTGTACTTTAAGACAACAATAAATAATAAATATGTTCTCGTTCTAAAAAATCTGTTGTCCATGCAGAATAATGTTTTGTAACTCTTATTCATAAAACTAATAATGTCAGTGTCTTCATATTTTTCTGTATTTTTCAAATGTATAGATGTGTAGTTTAGAGGAAATGTCGTTGAAGTTTCAAGTAACCCTTCATATAAATCAGGTAATTAAGGTTATGCTGAATTGACATAGGTACCCTTGAACATAAAAACAAAGATATATGGATACGTTTCCAATTCCAATCAGAGTTCAAAACTGTGTTTTCAGGAGTACGCAATAATTAGTATCTTGTTTTGTCCAACGGATTAAATTAATTCCGCTTGGATGTCCCGGAGTGGTCGTACCTTGCAGGAAGTGTTGTTAATGTTTTTGGATCGTTTTCAGGAAAAAAATTCAATAAAATTTCCAAGATTTTCAAACTGTAATATGTTAAAGTTAGCTTATTCTAAACTTTGCAATATATTTATCCAAAAAAAATCGATCCTAAAACTATCGTTTAAATACGATTGTTTCAAAACGATCGTTGTTAAATACGATTGTTTCAAAACGATCGTTTTTAAATTATTTCTGGTCGTTTTTTTCTGTTGCAAATATCATCTGGCAGGGTCAAAAATACATAAAACTTAAAGAAATGCAAATGTTTAGATTAAAAAACTAATAAAACATCATTACATTATGCCATATTTTGACCCTGTAAGAAAATATGTGCAAAAAAAAAACGAGTGAAAAACGAAACAACTGAAAGGACATCACTATTTATAGGGATAACTAAAATTGAGTGATCAAACACTTAATTATCAAATTTGAAAGTAGATTAGCGCTCTTTCAAACAGTTTCGACCTCAGATTACAGTATAAAAATAATATCTACCTATTAGACAACCTACAGATAGGAGTACTGTACCAAATGCGAACAGAACGAAAGCATAAATAATTGCTTTCCAGGGAACCTTCACAGGAGGCTTTAAAAACTGTCCAGCCACATAATCTTCTCTAGAATCTAGAATAATTAGCTTAAAAACTGTCCAGCCACATAATCTTCTCTAGAATCTAGAATAATTAGCTTAAAAACTGTCCAGTCACATAATCTTCTCTAGAATCTAGAACATGTAAATTTAAAAACTGTCCAGCCACTTATCTTCTCTAGAATCTAAAACAAGTAAATTTAAAAACTGTCAAGCCACATAATCTTCTCTAGAATCTAGAACAAGTAAATTTAAAAACTGTCCAGCCACTTATCTTCTCTAGAATCTAAAACAAGTAAATTTAAAAACTGTCCAGCCACATAATCTTCTCTGACATCTAGAACAAGTAAATTTAAAAACTGTCAAGCCACATAATCTTCTCTAGAATCTAAAATCAGAAAAGTTTAATAAATACAGAAAAATATGTACAAAAAATCTTTTTTGTGAATTATTTAAGCATTAAGCGGTCCTTCCCTGTAATTAAAAGTTTCCCGGTAATCGTCCCCAGTCAGGGGTTGAGCTTTGATCAGGGGAATCCTCAAATCAAAAGTGACCACATTGGATATCGAGATCAAGCGACCAGGATCAAGTATCCAACACAAAATCTCCTTGCTCTGAGGAGCGCCAGATTTAAAATATATAAGTTTGGACTTTTTATATCACCTGTAGAGGTAGCATCAACTTCATCACTTGTTGAATCCTCAGAGTTCTGATTCAGTTTGGTGTACCGGATTCTTTTCTAAATTCAATACTTTTTGGTTCAGTTTGGTGTACCGGATTCTTTTCTAAATTCAATCCTTTTTGTTCAGTTTGGTGTACCGGATTCTTTTCTAAATTCAATACTTTTTGGTTCAGTTTGGTGTGACGGATTCTTTTCTAGATTCAATACTTTTTGATCTAACAGATCCTAGTTGATACTTAAAGGACTGTAGACACCATTTTAAGTGATCCTTTGTTTAGAAGGTCAGGCCCGACTCACAACGGTAACTTAAGTTTGAAAGGATTTATGGAGCAAAGACAAAGAAGATTGCCAAAATTTATAATTTTTAAAATTCAGGATTACTTAGAATAAAGACTTAAAGTGAGTGTTCTCGAAAAATGAAAGGGGGTAAAGGCTTCATGCGATAAAAAAGCGCTTTTGATCGCTACTAATCTTACTTCTATCTGTTGCGTCTATAAGGAGAAAATTGTTAAAGACATCTCACACCGAATAACATGGCGTCCATACAAATTGAGAAAATTGCAACATACAACTTAGACCGTAAAAAAAATCAATTTAATTTCAACCAAATCATTCAGATATTACAACCTAGTCATCGATTATCTTTCGCCACATTTGTATATATTTGATATTTCATACTAGTTTTGATTTTGTTTTTTAAAATAATATTTAGCTTTCCACTTGTTTTCGAACATTCCTGGAAAATATGAAAATGTCGTCTTCATTACCAAAAATCCTCGAAACAGGAATAAATGTTTTATAAGTAACTCTCAGATCATAACAATGAAAACATATAATGAAAAATCAACTATATATAAATGTGGCGAAAGATAATCGATGACTATAGGTTGTAATCTCTGAATGATTTGTTTAAAATTAAATTGATTTTTTTACGGTCTAAGTAGTATGTTGCAAGTTTCTCAATTTGTATGAACGCCATGTTATTCGGTATGAAACGTCTTTAACAATTTTCTCCTTATAGACGCAACAGATAGAAGTAAGATTAGTGGCGATCAAAAGCGCTTTTTATCGCATTAAGCCTATACCCCCTTTCATTTTTCGCGAACACTCCCTTTACAGCTACTGTACATTGAATACATTCTAGCTGGAATATTAGAATTGGAAAAATGTAAAATTAAGTTTAACTGTATAATTAAATTCATAGTTACAAAGCATTATTTTAAAAAATATGATTAACTATCTCTTTCGGTTCAAAAAGATTTTGATGTTACGTAATCAGAGGTTAATCAAAGGTTAATCAGAGGTGTACATTTAGTTCTGTTTGATCAATAAATTGTAGTTTAAATATTGTGTGTACAAAGTTAAATTCCAGAAAAAAAATTAATTGTTATATCGAGAAAATAATTGAAATGCAGTGGAGTAACTGGCCAAACAAGAAAACAAATGTAAATTAAAAAGGTATAAGCTAATTTCAAATTTAACACATTGTGGAAGACGATGCCTGGCCGCGTTAAACTAGTTCCACAAGATTCAACAGAATGAGATAGAACGGATACGGGGCATTAGTACTGATATCATCTCTACAGTCTACACGTGCGATATCGATATTGACTCTAGTTCTGAACCCTCTAGTAATAAGTTATAAGAAATATATATACTGGAAGTTATTTATGCGTTTTATTAGAGTCTGACTCACGTCCTCTATAACATATTACAACAAATTTGAATATAAGAAAGTTGGTTTATTTAATACCTTGATCTCCATTGTGGGATCTATTCAACTGCTGCAAGTTTTTTTCATTTGATTTCTGGTTTTCTGAAAATAGAACTTTGTAAATTTTCACAATTAAGATTATACATAAATATTTTTTAGACTTTTCAAATTTAAATATTATAAGTATGGTAGGCTTGTTTATTGTAAAATACTGATGAGCAGAAAATGTATTTATAAAAACATAATTTAGTCCAAAATTTTAAGATTTGTATGATTTGTCTAATGTATCTAATGTTTAAGTCTGAACAACTTTCAGATTGGCGTTTAGAAGGCGCAGTTTAGGACATAAGCACCCCTTCATTTTGGGATAGTGTCACCCCTTCATTTTGGGACAAGGGCTCTACTGTAGCTTGGGACAAGGGCACTACTGAAGCTTGGGACAAGGGCACTACTGAAGCTTGGGACACGGACATTCCATCAGTTTGGGACAACCCGTAGGTTTGTGACAGGGACATCTCTACAGTTTGTGAAAGGGGAAACTGTGTAGTTTGTCCTACGCTTTCATTAGATATTTGGAAAGGTTTGTTGATTGTCTCTTTATGTTTATTTTTAAAATGTTTTATCATAGTTCTCTTCTCTTTAAACATCTGATTACAAACTTGACAGCTGAAACTTCGGTCCTGTGAGTGAGTTAGTTTATGAGCTCGGAGCTTAAACTTAGAGCTCAGCTGCTTGTTGCATATTTCACAGCTCCAGGTCTGTTCAGAGCAGCAGTGTCTCTCATGCTGCTTCTGGGACTTCAGGCAGTAAAACGACTTGTTACAAGAACTACAGTTGTACTTCTTACTGGCAGAGTGTATTTCCATGTGATTTCTCAAATCATTCTTGTAATAGAACACTTTATCACAAACCGTACATTTAAACTCTTTTCTTGAAATATTTCCTCCTGTTTCCAGCTTGTGAATGTTTCGAAGATGTTTATTTAGATTATTCCGCAGCAGAAAGGATTTCTGGCAAATACAGCAGAAAATCTAAAATAAATAAAGAAATAAATTTGAATTTGAGTTCAAGCTGCGAGGCTTTGTGATAGATAAATAACATTAAATTTAAATTAAGGGGTAAACAAGCAGAGAGAGAGATGAATTCAACTTCTACTCTTTAACCCATAGCAACAAGTAATTGTAAATTTATTCAAAAAAAATCAAGAATCAAGACAGGTTAAAGTTGATTGCCCGTTCAAGGATTTTGCTAATATTTTGTTAATAATTTGTTAATGAATTCTAGTTATATGAACAAAAGTCAGAATTATTAAACTATTATGTTGTGGATGTCGGCATCAAGCATTGATCCTCAATTTCAAAAGTACTCACATTGATATCGAGATCATGTGTTCAAGATTAACAATATCCACAAAATAGTTCCGATCTCAGAAGTCGGAACTATTGTGTTGTGAATCTCGAGATAAATCCTTGGTCTCAATCTTTTGCAGGCCTACGGATTAATTTAATTCCTTTTCGATATCCCATGGTGGTCATACCCTGCAGGGATAACTTTAATTAAGAAATCAAGCATTAATTCTCAATCTGTAAAGTGTCCAAATTGAATAACGCTATCAAGCGTTTAAGAATAAAGATGATCAACATTTAATTAATAGTTTGTACCTGGAATTTAGCAGCTCCGTCATTATGCTCTGTTGACATGTGAACCTGTAGTTCCTGCCTGCTGGTCAGCTTGACAGGAACTTCATGCTGATGGCAGATAATATTCCTGTTTGTTATCTCAGCTCCTGGACAAAAAAGATATCAATCAATTCTAATTTTCTAATCCTTAAATCTTTGCAACCTGATCTAGATGACCTTATATGTTCCAAATAATAACTTGTGCTAGATCAAATAGTCAAGGAAGCAACATTTTTAAAGATACAGTTAAATCATAGAACACGCCTTTTGTAATGTGAGAAAGAAGTCATCTTTCCTTACAACAGATTTACCCACAAAGGATGATAATGGCGACAAAAAAACAATTGAAATATTAAGATTTCTAGGTAAATTTGGTCTTCTGTAGCGTTTAGTGATTTGTTAGAAGACATAAAGACGTGTAGGGACCTGGGACCATGATTAACGTCTGTCATTAACGTCTGCTCATTTGTGGGTAATCTTGTATGTATATTGTCTAACCTGGACAAATATGACTGTCCAGAGCGTTCACATCCTCGAATATCTCTGTGCAGAGGTTACACATAGAGATGGGGAGGGTGCTGTGCCAGCTTGTCAGGTGCTTCACCAGTAGATGTTTGTGGTTGAAGTCAAGATGGCAAACCTTAACAGTTCAGTTATTTTAAAATAGAATTTTTGACATTTTGTAAGAAAAACATAGAAAATAGACAGCTGGTAAAAAGATAAGAAGAAAAAACTGTGAAAACTTCACTTAAGGCTTCAGGCGTAATTTTCAAGTGACACTATTACAATTTCTGATTGATATATCAGATTCACAACGTTAGCCTTAAACGCTGAGTCGGATAAAAATTTCTATAATATCCTTCTATTTGAAAATTTATCATTTTTAATGGCAATTTCTCTGTAAAATGACTTGCGCATCTCTACTTCATGAAAAATGTAGGAAATTGTCTGAATAAAACAATTTTAAATAAAAAAGACGATATTTTCCACATGATTGATCAGATAAAGGGTACCATTAGGAATCTGACGTCCCACTCTGCAAATAGAGGGTCCTTTGAAATTAAGTCCCTTTGTTATGCTAGTACTGGAAAATGATGTTTATTCATATTTTTAAGTATCTTTATTAGGATACTTGTATTTAGCTCAAACATCCTCTTCAGAAGGTAACCAAAATCACTATCTGTTATACAAAAACAAGACATTCGTATATATGTTCCCTATAGCCGGCCAAACGGCTGGACTGACTGGGCTGAAATTTGTTGAGAACACTCATGGTAGCCTGTGGGTGACAAAGGCTAAAAAATTCTAATTAAAATTTTTATTGTTTTCAAATTTTTTTGTCTTCAAATTTTTCAATTTTTTTCACGGGCAACGCAGGTGTCCTTCAGTTAGTCTGTTATATAACAAAACTTTGCCTAAAAATATAAGAAAATTTCCTCCGAATGATTAAGGAAAAAACAAGGTTTTCGTAGATTCATGTTCTTTTAAATTGAGCAACCAGTCTCTTGTTAAATATTCTTTATATTTTCAGAACTCACAACATTTCTACTGTTTTAAAACAAAATAATTTTTAATTGCTTCTTATTTTTTTTATTTTCAGTTTCAAAATTAGTTTCTGCTCATTGTTCAATAAAAAATTTCACAATTTAAGATGGATTATAAAATTAAAATAAACTAAAAAAATACAATTGTGCAGTGTACACAGACCTATTTCAATAAATTAGTTAATTTTCAAGCTCAGGATAAAACTATTTGGTTTACAACATCTTAAGAACATATAGATTGCTAAGATGTAGTCTTCCTATTCCCTAGTCCCACTCCAGTGAACATTAGAAAAAAAGAAATGATCAGATAAATTGGAATTATTTAAAATTTTCGAATGGTTGAAATTTGAGTCCAACTCCTGTCATTTGTGACTGATTTTAGATCTCTTTAAATTGTCCGAATTCCAGAGTAAAATTGGGGGATTTCTACATTTCCAAATTATTTTGTGCAATTTAGAAGAAAACTACACGAGTGCAAGGTTTCTATGCAGATATCAGGACAAATACAGTGAATTCCAAAAAAACTGACGACTTTAGTCAAATGTATACAGGGTGTCCCAATAACCTTGGGAATTAAGAGACGACTTGAAAATCTTTGATTTTTGATAATTGATAAATGAGAAAAAGTTTCAGTTTTGTAATTGGAATTGGAATCAGGGATGAGGTTAGGGATGGGTAGGGTTCAAATTAGGGTTGAGTAAGGTTCAGGTTAGGGTTGAGTAGGTTCATGTTAGGGTTGAGTGGGGCTCAGGGTAGAAATGGGTAGGGTTCAGGATAGGGATGAGTAGGGTTCATGTTAGGGTTGAGTATGGTTTAGGGTAGAGATGAGTAATGGTTTAAGTTAGAGATGAGTAAGGTTCAAGTTAGAGATGCGTAGGGTTCAGGTTAGAGATGAGAAGGTTTCAGGGTAGAGATGAGTAGGGTTCAGGTTAAGGATGGGTAGGGTTCAGGTTAGAGATGAGTAGGTTTCAGGGTAGAGATGAGTAGGGTTCAGGTTAAGAATGGGTAGGGTTTAGGCTAAAAGTGAGTAGGGTTCAGATCAGATTTATACCTTAATTCTTTGCACTTAAGATCTAATTCTAATAATAATAATATCAATATCATTCCTACCTGGCATTTGAAAACTTTTTTAGTTTGGTGAAAGGATTGAATATGCGCGAGCAACTCCGTCCTCTGATAGAACATCCTACTGCAGTCAGGGCACTCATGCTTCTCCTTGATCTGATGTTCCTCCTCCAGGTGCTTATTGTACACCCAGGCCTTCTCAAAACTCTCCGGGCAGAACTTACAGATAATATTCTTCTCCACGTGAAACTTCATGTGCTTTTTCAGTTGAGCTTCATTGGAGAATGGTTTTAAGCAAACAGAACATGTGATCTCATCGCGAACTTTAGTATTGGTGCTGAGAGGCCGACTGGATAAATTTGATTTTAATTTTTGTCGGAGATTCTTTTTCATCCGCTTTGGTTTCTTGTGAGGAATTGGTGATTTCTCTTCTGAATCTGAGAGAGAAACTTGTTTAGTGCTTGATATTTCAGAGTTTTGATCTCCTCCAGTAGAAAGATCAAGACTAGATCTGAGCGCGGCATTCTTCATTTCCTGGAGCGCTTCCGCGGAGAAGTTTAAAGTTACTTCTCTGGACACCCCAGGGATTGAGAACTTCATCTTTTGTCCAGTTTGACAAACCTGATCCAGGTTCATGATTATTTCTCTAGGATGCTGGTCCTGTGCTTCCTCATCTTGATCCTGGGAGATTCCTTCTTCAGCTGTAATATCATCAATATCATCATCTCTGACATCGTGGTCATCTTGAATAAGTTTATTTGCAGTATCTTTTTCCATGATAAGGTCTCCCACAGTGTCGGGACGAAGAAGATTTTTTAACGGAGACAGGGTTATTCCTTTTACAGGAGTCCATCGAACAGAGTTTGATACTGAAAGATTGCTGTTTAACTCAGGGTTGTCCGGACTATTAACAAGATTAGTTCCGGCTAGTTTGGACACCTTTCTTCCTAGTGCTGGTGTGAGTGCGAGTGGAGGACTGCTCCGAGCTAGAAGAGGAACACTAGAACAACGGAAGTCAACAATATCCTTCTCAAGCAAACTACTTGTTGCTGCACTACTCATTCGTCTCTTACAAGGTTCAGAGCTTAGAACTTTATTCATTTTTTTACCACCAAGAGGTTTGAGAATATTAGCATCTCTGTTTCCAGGTTGATGTCCATGTAGATTTAAAAGTAAAGAACCTTCTGAATTCGTCTTTTCTTTCAGATCTGATATTTTCTTCAAAACTGGGTGCTCAGAAACAATAAGCGACGGTGCAATGTCAGAAGATTCAGTCAACTGATCTTGGGGCTCCATAACACTTTTAGGGTTTTTTTCAACCAGCTCAGTAGTTTCAACAGTTTCTTCAAACCTGTCTTCCACCGGCTCCACATTTTCTTCCACTGGCTCCAAGTTTTCCTCAGCAATAGTTTCATAGCTCTCAACAGAACTATCTCCACTGGAACTCAACTCCATGGTTTGTATATCCAGGAGGTTTTGTCCGGGGGAGTCCTGAGTACGAGGATCCACTGTTAGATGAGGGAGCAGGACGTTCTCTAGGTCATCCAGCTGGTTCGCCTGCAGGTTGTTCAGGTGCATTAAGAGGTTCTGATCCAGGACATCCAGCACACTGGTTCCAAGCCTGGATCCAGAGGGATTATCAGATACACTCGTCTCAGTGGATTTAAGACGAGGGGACTGGAGGGAGTGAAGAGAGAACCCGGAGAAAGATGAACTTGAAATTCTTGAACCTGGAATCAATCTTATTAATGCAACAATTAGAAAAATTAAGAGTGAATTCAAAATAGTTAATCTTGGGGAAGTAATTTTCTTAAATATTTTTGTCACCCTTCTCCTTTAGAAAGTTTTTCCAACGTTTGGTAGAAAATTATGTTTTAATTCAGGGTTTTGAAGCTTTTGAGAAAATTGGTATAAAACCCCTTTTTTTGGGTCAATCTAAGAGAGGATAAAAAATATTAAACTCACCTAGCTGTCGTGCTGAAGATTTTTTCTGATAGAGCAAGGAATCCTTGACCCCACTAGGACCAGGCACAGGGCTTAGGCTGGGCTGCCTAAAAATATGTATTATAATTTTGAGTCCAAAATCATGAAACCGATGAACTTGCCGATTTTTTAAGGTGTCGAGAAAAATGTTCAAAACTACCAAAATAAGAAAAAATAAAATAAAAAATTAGAAGAATAATTCTACTAATTGTATAATTTATAATTAAAACGTCTCGTACCGCTTATATGAAAAAAATGACTAGATAATTATCTTTAAAAATGTTCATAAATTGTTAAAAAATGGTACGAGGCTAGGTTTAGGATATGACTTCAAAGACGGCTGAACAAATTTAGTCTTTTTTTGTACATTCATGATTTCCTGCAGCTTCTAATTTCATTGTAAAATAATTTACTTTACCGTCCTAAAAGACTATTTTCTAGACCAAACACAACATTAAACCTTCAAAACTTCATTTCAGTTTACTCTCGTCATTAAATTCTTATTCTTTGTGGGTCGCACTCCACTATACAGAGAGAGAAGGTAAAATCCATGCGACATTACTGGTCCGATTTTGTGACCTCGTAGTTTCTCTCGTTTTGATTTTACGCACAAGTTTGTGAACAATGTTTTAAAAAACATTTTTTTCATCTCAATAGCTCTCTCTTCAACAAAAGGAGATAATTGCAAACATAAAAGATTTATTTACTTACTTACTTTTCGGGGATTTAAAAACAGCTTCCAAGTTGGGAATAAATATATTAAAGATATTTGAAGATTCATACTTGAAGAATATTTGGTTTGATGTATGTTGATTTAACGCTTCAAACCCAGAGTACTCTGATTTAGAAAGATAACACTTAAAATGTCGAAGATTTTGATATTTTCCCAGAAAATGCATTAGAATTCTAGTGTGCCCACGTTGACGTAAAGTACACCTGAGCCTGAAACGAATGTAAAATTTCTACTTATTTTTAATGAGCAAAACTTAGTACCCAACAACCTTATATCTTTGCTTCGATTTCTACTTTTTTCTTTTTGTTTGTTTGAAGTTTTAACATAGTAAATTAACTTTAAGTTGATCTATATTAAACAAAGTGGCATTTTCGATTCACAAGGATACCCCTAAAATAATTTCTCTTTGAAAATTATTTTTATTGTGGCTTTTATAAAAGTGACATGTGCATTTCTGCTTGTAGAAAAATGGAGGGAATGATTAGAATCAAACACTTTTTAAGCTAAAAAAGCCACAATTTTTTCTAAATTATTGATCAGATTAAGTTTTTAAGGGTATCTATGTGAAGGGCTTTTCATTTAAAGTTCTATAATCAAGAGTCAAACTTGAAGACAGTAATGAAAAGAAATAAATCACAGAAAATAATATGAGGAATATTTCAAACAAATGAACGGATATTTTTTTTTGTTAAAATTCACGAAGTTTACCAGATATTGGAGTTTGCCAGGACAAAAGTGACAAAACATTTTGTTACATTTAAGGTGCTCGCCTTTGGATGCACATAGAAATAAACGTTAATCAATCAATCAATCAACATTTTGTCTCGGAAATCATAGTTTGCGGGTAAAATTTGCGGAATAATAGTTCACACAAAATCAAACTATAAAAACATAAATTGGACATCAAAAAGTTTTTTACTTAGTTTTAAAAACCTGGATTGCTTGGTTGGAGTTGGTTCCGGAGTATTTACACAGCTCTCCGTCATTGGTTTAACCAAGGATAGATCTAGGAGAGGGAAAGCTGGACCTGGAGTAAACCCTGAACCTGTAGTTCTTGTTTTCTGTCCTGATGTCGGAGCTGCAGATGTAGAGGGAAGGGTTGAATACACTGCTGGAGGGAAATGTTGGGAGGAGGGGGAGATAATGTACATTATTTCTCCGCTAGTCCTGAAAAATGAGATATTATACAGCATTTCTCCGCTAGTCCTGAAAAAGGAGATATTATACATCATTTCTCAGCTAGTCCTGAAAAAGGAGATATTATACATCATTTCTCCGCTAGTCCTGAAAAAGGAGATATTATACATCATTTCTCCGCTAGTCCTGAAAAAGGAGATATTATACATCATTTCTCCGCTAGTCCTGAAAAAGGAGATATTATACATCATTTCTCCGCTAGTCCTGAAAAATGAGATATTATACATCATTTCTCAGGTAGTCTTATATATACGTTGGATACGTTGTTTCGGCGGTTAGGAGCGCCGACCACATATTTCATTGAATGATGGGTTGTCCTTTAATAATAATAATAATAATACCTTTAATTTGTTTTTCAAAATTAATAATAATAATTGATAGATCTGAAAGGGAAACCGACATGGAACCAAGGAACATATCTTGGCACCCGGCACGGATTTAAAATTAGAAAAATAAGGAAGAAAAAAATGACTTTGATTAAACAAATGTAAATAAAGTTCTAGAAGAATTGAAAACAAAACAAATAAAATTAGAAAAAACTACGTCACAGTTTAGTATGGAGAAAGCTATTTTTTACAATTTAAAAAATTGGAAAAAATATTTGGATGAGATAATACCTTGGATTGGGTTGTGCCGACGGAAGATTAGAACTGTCTGACGACTTATTGTAAGATCTACCCGGAGACATTACATCCTTAGGATCCGACAGGTTTGGAATATCATGATACTCCAGGATACTGGGACAATCTTTCACAAACGTTTTGTCATTGATAGATTCACGAATTTGTTTCAAAAATGAGATCAACGTCGGAATTCCTAAAATACGAAAGAAAAAAAATTTAAGTAAATAAAATTACCAACTTATCCAGGACAGTAGACGTAATTTCAAGTAACCATAAATTAAAAGAGTAGTTTTTACGATATCCCCTCCATCTTGATCAGACATAGGTTGAAAGGTCCAAATGTGAGTCGGACATTCCCCTTCATAAATGAAGGATCACTTAAAATAAAGTAAACTGTGGGAAGTAAGACGTCTCTAAAACTCATTTTTTAGCAGTTTTTTTTCCAAAAAGCAAGAATTATCAGTTTATGATACTACTAGCTTGGGAAACCAGCTTTACCTGAAGTTTTCTCTTTAAATATCAATCCAGTCAATGTTAAACCAGGCTAAGAACATTCCCATGATTTTACCAAACAAACAACAGAGATTACTACTCTATATAAATATAATCATAATTCTCTCCACAAATTCGGTAATTTTAAAGATATTTTTCAGACCAAGGTAAATATCTAACTAAAAGTAGGTGAGAATATGAACACGACCTTTTAGCTTGGTTTATTACAAGTTTTAATTCAAAAAGGTCGACTTTTGTAGGAAAACTTAGTTTCCAGTCAAAGCTGGGTTCCTCCTCGTATTTGTTTATTTTGTATATTTTGTATTATATCTCTATTTATCTACCAACCTAGAACCTGGGAACAGACCAGTAAGGTTTCAATCCTCTGTGGTGATATTTCAACTGTTCCAACACAATAAAGAATTCCAATGATAAGCTGAACATCTTCTAAGGTCAGGTTCAGATCGTTCGGAGCCAGCTCCTTATCTAGATCTACTAGGGTTACTCCGGGTTGGTGTCGGAACAGATCTTTAAAATATTTACTGCTGGAAGAGAGGACAACCTGCAGGATATCATTTTTAGAAACAAACTTAATAAAATTATCTTTTCTTCAAAATATTATTAATTTATTTTTTTGATTCATTTTCAATTTACAAAACCAAGTTCGACTACATTCAATATAAAAAAAAAACACCTTTCGATGAAAAAATCTAATAAACTACAAAGCAACCAGCCAGCCAGCCAGTCAGCCAGCGAGCCAGCCAACCAGTCAGCGAGCCAGCCAACTACCCAACCAACCAACTAACCAACCAACCAATTAACCAACCAAACAAGCAAGCAGGTAACCAAGCAACCAACCAACCAAGCAACCAACCAAGCAACCAACCAAGCAACCAACCAAGCAACCAATCAAGCAACCAACCAACCAAGCAAGCAACCAACCAACCAACCAACCAACCAACTAACCAACCAACCAACCAAGCAACAAATTAACCAACCAAACAAGCAAGTAACCAACCTACCAAGCTACAAATCAAGCAAACAGCCAGCAAACTAATTATTCAGTCAAATGAAACCAACCAACCAACTACCTATGCTATGAAACCAGTATATCTAACATTATAATTATTTCATTGAACAATTTCTTGCCTTATGTGCTCTTAATATTTGTCCCTTACAGACCAGTGATATATCCACGAATAGTCCTGTACTCAAATATTCACTTAGCGCTGAGAAAACCGTGGATTTCTGCTCGTTCTCAAATCCGCTAATTATCTCAGTTGTGGAGGCCGCCATTTTGTCTGAAACTTATTAATCACAAAATAAATAATGTTAAAAACATTTAGGTAACGATAAACGTGGCTGTTTAACTTTTAAAGGAGGTGTAAGCGTATATTCAAGTGAAATGGCAATGCCTGATTCAAAAAGGTACCCTTGAAACCTATGTCTGATCAATAGTTTGGAGGATACTGTCGTTTTTCTAGGTTTAAAAGTGTTTAATTCTGATAAATCTTACAGAAATATGTTTCCCTCCTGTAGAAATGCGAAAGTCACTTTTTAAGAAAATTTGTTACCACAGTTAAAATAATCAATTTTCACAGTTATAGACATTCATATCTAATTCATACTTGATCAGACAAAGCATTGAAGTGTAAAATCGGTCACTTGAAATTAAGCTTACAGTCCATTTTGGTACAGGGTGTCCCACGAAACATGACAATTGGTGAATAGGTTTGAATGTCATCTTCTTCTGTATTGGATATTACACACTTTATTCAGTTTATTTCGTTGATAACATCTTTTACTCAAATATTTCTTAACTTTGAAATCAATTTTGCTATAATATGACAGCCATGTACTATTTTTTTCTTTGCTATCAAATAACTTATTATGGAAATTATGGAAGAAGACATTTAAAACTATTCACCTACTTTCATGTTTCGTGGGACACCCTGTAGTTCATTTTTTTATATTAATATCAAATCAATAGGTTAAAAATGAAAGTATTTGCAAATTTATCTTGAATAAACTAGATCTGGAGTATCTGGAGCTTAGGGCACTTCGTACTTAAACACAACGGAAAACATATTCCCTGAAGAATAAAAATAAAAGTAAAAATATTAGAATAGAACAAAATATTTTTCAAGAAATGTATTTTTATCACTTGTTTTCTTAATTTAGGTTCACCTCCTAATCTTTGCGCTAGCCATTTGTTCTTCAAGACTGCCACCTAATACAAGATATTTTTTAACTTAAAAAACAAATATTTAGACATTATTTTGTACTTCACGATCAGTGATTTTAACAGACTAGGGGTTTTAAACTTTGCAATATGTAGAAGAAAATGTAAGGGAAAAAGAACAAAACAAGTTTTGGTTTATTTTTGGCACACATCTCTTGTGAAAGGAAAGCAAATTTTAATATAATTCTGATATTTGGTCAACGCTACTTGCGATTAACAAAAATCATATCATTAACCAAGCCTAATAGTTAAGCCTAAGGAAAAACAGGAAGCAAGATCAGCCCGCGTAAAATAAGTGTTCACTATGGTTTACAGGGTTACCCATGGTCAAGTTTTTAAGACAACGGCGCAACACAAAACGTTGGGGTACTTGACTTTTAACTGATCTTGAGCAAAACAAAATAATAGAAAGAGAACAAACTAGAAATAGATTTATTGATAATTCGTTTTTTTTCTGTATGCGTGAGCTTGTGCCAACACCCTTTATCCAAAAATAAATTATTAAAGTTAAAAATACAATTTTGAAATTTGTATCCTTTACTACTTCAAAGATTTTAGTGGAACCTTTTTAAAAGTTAAAAAAAAATATTACCCATCACTAACTAAGAGTTTCCTAAACAAATTGATGTCAAGGAAACACCCCAAAACGGAAACAACCCCAAAAAACAGGAAACCTCTCAAAAATGGAATTTTTTGGACATTTCCTAGCTTTCTAAAAATTTTACTGAAATCCTTCAAATCTCTATTTTTTTTAGGAATTTCCCTTTTTTTCGATCATTTTCCCTGATTTTTAGGTTCGATTTCGCTTTTTACGGGTCATGTATTTTTGCTACTAAAAAGGGTTACCTTTAATGATTCACAGTTGAATGGTGTATAAAGGTTTGTATGAATAGCTCTCCCCATTCCTTCAAGTACCAGTAGATCAACATTCTTACTTAGCATCTCTTCACACAGCTTAATATAATTTCATTACTTTTTTACAGAAATGTTGTTTTTCCACAAACGTACATTTGACATTGTCGTTTTTTATGTCATTATGTTTGCAGGGAGTTTTTCCTAAGGTCAGAACTTATGTAATTCATCCAATCAGAGAGCTCTTCATAACAAATCTACCCAATGACAGATCGCGAAATACAGTCCACTGGATTAAGATTCAAATTATAAGATTCGACTGGGGATAACAAGTTCACTTGTAGAAGATTAACCTGGTGGTTAGGTCTAGAATGACAAGGACTAACTGTTGTTTAAGTCTGGTAAGATAAAGACAAGGACTACCTGGTTGTTAAGTTTAGAAAGATATAGACAAGGAGTACCTGGTTGTTAAGTCTGGTAAGATATAGACAAGGACTACCTGGTTTTTAGGTCTGGTAAGATCTAGACAAGGACTACCTGGTTGTTAAGTCTGGTAAGATCTAGACAAGGACTTCCCTGCCCACTATCTCTGGCGATCATTTGTCCATCCTCTAGAGCTGCCTTGATTACTGGACTAATATCAGAGATCTGAAAAATGAATAAATATTTTAAAATTCAGATTGATTTCAGGTTCACTTCAATACTTAAGGATAATCCCGTTTATCTGAATATCTGTTGAGGGTTTAGATATCAAACAATATGCAGTATTATTCAAATATCAATATACAGGGGTGGCTTATGACGGATGGGGGGGGGGGGAATTCTACCTAAAACTTTTTGAGAATAAAACTGAAAGAGGAAACAGCTTCTAGCTCCTTAAAAGGACTGTTAAGGTAAAATAAAAGGGGGTATAGGCTGAAGCCTTAAACTTTTAGGAGTTGTTAGCGACCAATATTAGTTCTATCTGATAACCCTGTCGCAAGAAACGGATATAAAACTGTGACAAAGTTAATCCAAAACTCATTTAAATGCGATTTAGTATATAAATCAAAGTTTTTAACACTTCATATTCAGCAAATACGAAACAAATCTGATAATTAGGATAACCCAGAGGTGCCTAAAAATTTTAGGTACGCTTCTATAATAATTTAAGTATAATACTTGTTCATTTTTAAACGATGAAATTTATGATATAATTATTATGTCTATATCACGTGCATTATATTTTCATTAAAGTTTCATACCTGTGCGAGAAGCAATACAAGTTCTGCATAGGTAACATCGTTCAAGATAGGTTTAGAGTTAGCACAGAGGATAACGTTTGTGCCTCGTCGGAGTAGTTCTTCAGTAAACGGAATAGCACCTAGTAGGGTTAGAGTTAATACAGATTAAAATATTAGTTTCATGTCCGAGTAATTATTCAATAAAGTAGAGTTAGAGTAAGTACAGATTATAAGTTAGTACATCTTCAATAAAGTAGGGTTAGAGTTAGTACAGATTAAAATATTACTTTCATGTCCGAGTAATTCTTCAAAAAAGGGTATAGTACCTAGCAGGGTTAGAGTTAGTACAGATTAAAATATTAGTTTCATGTCCAAGTAATTCTTCAATAAAGGGTATAGTACCTAGTAGGGTTAGAGTTAGAACAGAGTATAATATTAGTTCCATGAACGAGTAATTCTTCAATAAAGGAAATAGCACCTAGTAGGGCTAGAGTTAGAACAGAGTATAATGTTAGTTCCATGTCCGAGTAATTCTTCAATAAAGGAAATAGCACCTAGTAGGACTAGAATTAGAACAGAGTAAAATATTAGTTTCATGTCCGAGTAATTCTTTAATAAAGGGTATAGCTCCTATAGTAGGGTTAGAGAGAGTACAGAGTATAATGTTAGTTCAATGTCCGAGTAATTCTTCAGCAAAGGGTATAGCACATAGTAGGGTTAGAGTTAGTACAGATTATAATATTAGTTCAATGTCCAAGTAATTCTTAAATAAAGGGTATAATACCTAGTAGGGTTAGAGTTAGTACAGAGTAAAATATTAGTTTCATGTCCGAGTAATTCTTCAATAAAGGGTATAACACCTAGCATAGCAGGGTTAGAGTTAGTACAGAGTAAAATATCAGTTCAATGTACAAGTAATTCTTCAATTAGTACAGTGTATAATATTGTTACAATGACGGAGTGATTCTTCAGTAAAGGGTATATCAACTAGTAGGGTTAGAGTGAGTAAACATCTATACATTTTGTTATTCCTTTACAAGATGTTCCATTTAAAAACATACAATTGAATTTAAAAACTCCAATAAAAACTAACACCTATACTGTAATATCTCTAATATAAACTAAATCATTCACTCACGAACAGCTGATATTTTATCTATGCGTCACAATACTATTGAGTACGCTCTGTACTTGCGTATAATTAGTCACTCACCAAGAATGACGTCAGCACCGGAGTTATCAAGGAAAATACAGGCACACTGACATTTGTTTTTCTTAAAAATATTTAAGACACAAAGATGTTTTTGTATTTAAGTCAAATTCGTAATAAAAGTTGTCCTAAAGTCTTAATTGAGAAAACTTTATATTACAGTGGGGTGGTACACAGAAAATTGCAGAATTATAGTCATCTTTGTCCATTTAATTTTCAGCTGATCTATTTCTTTAAAAAGGTGCCCTGACCATTTTTTAGACATTTATCAGTTGCAAAATTTCTTAAGTAAAAGAAAGAATACGTGTATTACTTAGTTTTCTGGTTCTCGCTATATATATATAACCATGAAATTTCGATACTTTTGTAAATTTTTACTGATATATTTCTGAAAATTGTTGAAGAGAGAAGGAAGATGACAATCGTGCCACTGTTTTCTGGTCAGAAGAAGAACTATTTAATTTATAAAGAAAACATTCCTTATGAGGAGGTCCACGAAGTCTATCAACCCAGCTCTCAACATCGTCAATTAGCCAAGGTCGGGGGCCGATATGGTTCATGGCCTTCCTAGAATAGATCTTAGGTCAAACTTTGTAGTGAGATAACGTTTATCCACAACCGTTGATCTCAATATTTACTGTGGCAACTTTGATTTTTACGGATATCTGCTTAATCGCTTCATTTTAGTTATCTTTGCAACGGGATTTCCAAGAGAAACTGATTTATTCCTTCAGACAACAAAAATTACGAAGAACGATAATTGCGAATTTCAAGAATTATCAACATACAAGTTTTGACCACAGAGCAGATTTAAGAAGATTTATATATTTAACAGATTGAACATAATTCCAATATAATGATGATTGAGTTCAAGTAAATTAATGCGACGGATGCTTTATACGTTTGAATTGCATTCAAAAAATAGTTTTTATCGTTTAAACAACTTTGATTATTTGTATCTAATATTTGATTAGAAGATACGGGAAGACGATATATTCCACGAGTCCATCACACATTAAAAGAGAGTGCACACCCAATTCACTTAATATGTTGATTTTCAAGGTAGTATATTACTTTATAACAACGTCAAATTAACAGAACATTTCTTAAATCTCATCTTTTTATGATGATCACTCTATCTATATTTGTGTTAAATCACCTGAAATCAATTTGACCGGCCTCCATTAGCAGCGCAACTTCCTTAGCTCCCCAGTCAAATACATTACCAGCTAGAAATCCTAGACAATAAAGCAACACAATGTAAAAAACTTCCTTTGCTCCCCAGTCAAATACATTACCAATTAGGAATCCTAGACTACAAAGAAACACAATATAAATTAACTTATGTATAAATGCGAGCAAGTTAGTTCTTTTACAAAAAAAAATTGGACACATGAAACAAAAGAAAATTTTATTTTGAATGGAAATTGTTTTCAGACATATCTCCCTTTTCATACGTAAACTCAATCTTGGATTTACAATTAAAATTAGGAGTTACTGAGTTGCAAAGTCGTACAATAAATTTTGCGTAATATAGAGTTTAATGTTAATGTCTAGATTGACAACACACATTGAGGACGCATATTAATGAAAGCACTTATGTAAGACCAAATATTGAGAACGCAACATTGAGAACGCTTGTTAGGGCACAAAAAGTGTAACACACAGGGTTACCCACAAAGGATGAGACTTCAGAGACGACTTAATAGATTTTTAGCAAATTTTTTCCTGACAATCTTTGTTCCCAGCAACTAAACCCAGTTTATCTCTTTCCAGGATCTTTTAGTGCAACATTTGAAGACTAAGTTCATTGTTTAAGGCAAACGACCAAATTCAACATGAATATCGTTACATTTAATGAGTTCTAGGTCGACATTAAAGTCTAATCTTTTACGGGTACAATATGATATATACCTAAAGCTAAACTTTCTTGTCGTTCCTCCCAGGCCATACTGGAGAGTTGATCCAATCTTTCCTTTAGCAGGCCTAGAGCTATCTTATTCTCCATCTGTTTTTGCCTGGAAAACAAATTAGTTAAAAAGCAAGATTAGAAAATACTTCGAAAGGAACTGAGTTTTTGCCACAAACTCAAAACTTCTAAATTATTTATTTTTGCAACCTTTGATATTTCAATTTTGGATCATTTGATCTAACATAATTCATAGTTTGAAAATTCAAAGATCTATTATTGGGTTGAAAAGATATAAGGTTAAGAAAATTTAAGCTTTTGTCAAAAACTCGGTTCCTTTAAAAGAAATGTTTTGTTAAAGGGGGGGGGGGCTGGAGGGGGCACTGGATATTGATAATATAGGTTGCATGGCTGCCTCCTGCTTACTCAATTCGGAAGTTTAACCATAAATTTTATTTTGTCGATATTTTACTATTAGATTTAAGGAGAAAGGGGGGTTACTGACACTTGAAAGGTGCGTAATATGGTTTAAAAAGCAAATAATCTCGTATTTGCATCAATATTTTTAAATTATATAATTATCTTGTATACAAACCTGAGATATGGATCGTGAAAATCAAACTCCATCAGACAATGTTCTCTCATATCTAGAAGTGATCTTACAGTCAGATTTCCAAATGCAAACGCTTCTTTTCTCAGCAGCTGTATCCGGGACAAAAACTTCTCTTGAAACTTCTCCGCACGCTCCCCGGAATCCGCGGAATGAGATTGACTTTCCCGCGCTCTGTCCGTAAACTTGGGCAGGGAATCCTCGAAACATTGGAGCCAGTACACTCGAGCATCATGGTCACGAGTAAGATCGATCGTGTCTGGAATGTAATTATCAGGATTCTTGAGAAGAGGGCAGTATCCTAGGGGAGAATCGAACCTATCTATCTCTAGATGATCCATCTCCAAGCTTGCCTCCTTACTTCCCTTGGGATGTGATGGAAACTGAGCCTGGAAACTCGAGCTTCCGTACAAGTTCTCCGTCCACGAGTATTTAGAGGTGTCCATAACCTCTGCTCCCTTCAGGAAAGCTCCGATGGCTCCAAGATAACCTTCATGTCGGAGAAAGGTTGCCTGAACCTCGCCCTTGCTCCAGTAGTTTATAGAGTAGGATATTGTGTGTAGGCTGACCGGTCTGTGGCGGAGGAAGAATCCGCCAAAATATATTCTTTTTACTTTATGTAGGAGTGCATAAAGACAGGCTATCTGTCCAATATCGTTGCTTATTATATAAAGCAAACTTCGAGCAATATCGGCTTCACTGCAAATCATAAATCATAGTTTAAAAAAAAATGAGTGATAATATTATAAATAAACTTTATCGATAAAAAATATTTAAAAAACAGATACATTTTTACTTTGAATCGTGGGAAAAGTCTAGTTAAAAAAAAATAATACTTTTTAGAATTTAATACAAAACTATGATTAATATCCCTAAAATGTTTCTCCGGGTTTGCTCCAAGCTGGATTGCTTTCCCGAAACTTGATGCAATCAAGTCTCCGGGTAGTCCAAGAGCAGAATAATCACAACCATAGATATCTTTCACTAGCATATCAACATTTCTAAACAAATTAAAAAATTTAGATTCTAATTATAATTTTCAAATAGAAGACCACTTGAAAGCTTTACTAGAAAAGCATTTTATAACATAATTTAGTGTTAACTAACCTGTGATCTCCCTTTTCCGCTAAGGAGAGAAGCTCATCAAAATCCTGAAGTACCATAGATTTATTAAAACAAAAATGAATGCACATTTTCATATTTTAAACCTTTTCATCATTTAGATATTTCCGACTCAAGTATTAATGAATAATATTAAGGGGGAAATAGATGAATTTTTAGTACAAAAGTATGAAAAAAGGATAAAAACTCATTTTTCCAATTTATTTAAATATATATATAAATTATTCAACCCTCTTTAAGTGTGTTTAAGAGTGAAGACCGATCTATTTTTACCTTAGCAGAGGTGAGTAGTTTACCAAGCCCCCAGAATGTTCCACCCCCTGTAGCTGTTCCCCCAATTCTACTGAATGTATCCTCAGATTCAACCTATTGATATCATTATTATTAATGTTATAAGTTGTGAAGTTTGTAAAAAAAAAACCAATGGAACGGGATTTACTCATGTGTACTGGAACATTCATAATTATTCCACAACATGCAAATCTGCAAATCATTAAAAGATGCAGCATAGAATCAGGATCGCCATTTAAACTAAACTGATGTAGTTAGAGTTATGTGCTTTAAATTTTTCTCATACTATGCCAACCCACGGCCTTTTATTGGCTCCTTAAATATCTGACTTATACGTTGAATCCTAAAAAATGATGCTTTTAATGTAGGTTGAATGATGACAACAATAATATAAACAATTCAATAACAATACCTTTAGTACAGATCCTAATGTGACGAATAGATATTGGAACATATAATAATAATACCTTTAGTACTGATACTCCTGATCCTATTGTTATAGGAGATTTCCTCTGTTTTGAAATGGGGGATTAGATGAGGCTGGGGGAGGAGAGTAGAAATCAAATCTTGGTAAGAATATATACCCCTAATTAAGTAGCATAATACCTGAGTAAAAAGTTACAGCCTCTGATCATGCATTCCATCTCATCTTCCTTCGTAATCTTCATTCCTAGTTTAGTTTCTATCATTTCTGCGTATTTATATGCTCCTCCACCCGTCACTTTTATTGTGTTATCTGAGCGAATACAATGGTGAAGGATAGCCAAAAAGCTAGTTAAAAGGACTGTAGTTAGTTATAGAATGGACTGTCTGATTCACAACAGTACTCTTTAAACCTTAGACTGACCCAGAATGATAATTTTTTTTTTCTAGATGAAAATTTAAATGAGTAAAACCATTAATTGTATAAGAGTAGAGTAAGCATATGAGTTACAAGTTCTTTTAATCTGAAAAGACTTTTAGTGTTTAATTCTTATAATTCGTAAATTTTTTCCTGCAGTAGAAATGCGGAAGTTACTTTTATAGAGAAACCAAAATTGAAAATAATCCTGTTTTGAATTTCATTGATTTATAATAAAGCCTTGATCAGTCAAAGCCAACGAGGTTATAGTGTATAGAGTGATGATGTACGCTAATACTTTACTAATTATATAGGCCATAAACTATACCGAGAGCGTACTGCATATTTGTTTATTATAAGGAGATTCTGGCCTATTTGTTTAATATAAAGATTCTGGCCTAACCTATCAATATTAATAAACAGTTGTAAGTATACAGTACAGCTAATTGAGCACACAGGTAGAGAACTATCATCCCACCTGGTCAAAGCTGGGTACTGTTGTGAATCAGATATTAGTATTTCTGCGAACAGGGTCACTTTAAACTACGCTTTCAGTCCTTTGAACAAATTAAAAGGCTCCATCGTATTTCCTATTATCTGTGGTTTAGTTCCAACCAGGCACTGTTGAATATAATCCAGTGTGGTTTCTATATGCTTAGTTTCAAACTTGATAAAATGAAGACGAGCACCCTCTGTCATTTCATAAATAGCATCATCTTGATCCTTAATTTATCATTTTAATAAATTTAAAATACATCTTGCAAGATAAAAAAAGATTTTTTATCTTTTTTTATTTTAAAAGACAATTTTATTTAAATCAAAATATTGAGTTTTCAATTAAACAGATAAGACAAAAAGCTGATAAAAAAGTTTGAAAATTTTGTAAAATTATCTTGATCCTTCGTATATCATTTTAATAAATAAAGTAATCCGCCATTTACAGATTCAGATAAAAAGCATTTTTTTATATTATTTGAAGAGACAATTTTATTAAAATTTCTAAAAAAATTAGTCCTCAATTTAACTTATGAGACGACTAAAAAAAAGTATTGAAAATTTTGTAAAATTATCTTGATCCTCTGTATATTATTTTAATAAATAAAGTGATCCGCCATTTACAGATTCAGATTAAAGATAAAAAACATTTTTTTATTATTTCACGAGATAATTTTGTTTAAATTAAAAAAATTTAGTCCTCAATTTTACTTATAATATGACTGCAAAAAAAGTTTTGTAAATTTGGTAAAAACTATAGTGGACCTACAATATACAAATATATCATTATTATTATATTTAAAAAAACAGAAAAGAAGATACATTACAAACTACAGTACAAATAATAATAGTAAAAATAATAATAATAATGAACATAGCACACATTTTACACATACATTTAGTGCATACAGTATATAAAAACACATACAGTACATACAGAACATACCTCATCTGTAGTACATGGTTCATTACTGTCGTAAACAATCTTCTTTAAGGGTAGAGTTGAATAGTATGCAATCTTTGTTAAACTTCCCCCAATATCCATCGCAAATATCTACAAACAAATTAAGTAGGCAAAATTTTAACTACATGCAAAAATATTACGAATTATGGCAAAATTTCAAATATATAATGCAAAATATCTAAATATCTGACAAAAACAAAAAGCAGACAAAATATTCAAACATTGGATAAAGATATAAAGTAAGCTAAATTGCAAAGATACACCATAATACCTAAATATCTGTTAAAAACATTAAGTAGTCAAAATTGCAAATATACACCATAATACCTAAATATCTGGCAAAAACATTAAGTAGTCAAAATTGCAAATATACACCTAATACCTAAATATCTGGCAAAAACATGAAGTGAGCAAAATTGCAAATGAAAGGAGTAGAGTAAAGTGCATTTCCATAATAATACATTTGATGTGCGAAACTATAATAAAACTAAGGTTTTCTTAATTTAATGACCTACAGATCCAAATTGGACAGCAAACGAGTTATTATGTATTAAGGCAATATTGCGCATAATGTATAATTCAAAAACTATAATAAAAGAAGTTTATTCATATTTGGTCTTCATATAACTGATAAGTACGTAAGAAGTAAGATTTCTTAACGAAATTTTCCGAGTTTTTAGCCCAAAAACTAAGAATTGCATTTCAGGAGTAAGGTCTAAAGGCTTTAAAAAACAAGCAAAAATCCTTTAGTCTTTAGAAAATCAAAGTTTACGTCTAGATAATCCGGATTAGCTAAAATAATTGTGGCTAAAACGTTTATGCGCTTCTAAATAGACAAACAAAATGAAGGATGAAAATTGATGTATGTGCGGATATAAAAATGACTATGAGCGCTTACATAATAATATTCAAAAACGGTACATTTTCTGCGATAACATCTGTTAGCAGTTCTGAAAGCAGTCTTGAGGTTTCTGGTAGCAGTCTAAAGGTTTCTGGTGGCCGTCTTGTGGTTTCTGGTAGCAGTCTTGAGCTTGATGTTTCTGGTGGCCGTCTTGTGGTTTCTGGTGGCAGTACAGGTGACAGTCCAGGTGCTTCTGATAGATCGGCTAGTGAACATTTGAAGTTTTAAAGAAATCTGGCATTGTTCGAACTACAATATTTGGATCTCCATCAAGTTGAAGAATTCCATGAGACATTCATAAAAGGAAAAACTGCTGGAGTCCAGGTGGCAGTCCAGGCGGGTCCAAAAATGACATATTAGGAAATTACCTCTTTTATTTTGCATTTGATAAGTGTTAAAATATTTTTTGAGAAAAAATCGTAATTCCAAAGGGTATTAGATGTATTTAGAATTTTTGCATTACCATCTTATTTTCAGATTTTTAGCCAAATTATTTGAACTGGCATATCTTTATATCCTTGCATTTAATTAACAAAATTATTAAATAAAATTTTCCCACAGCCGGGTTGTCTTTCATAGTGTTTTATAAACTTTTTTCTATCCTGCATAGTTTTTCTTTATTTGGTGTTAAAAGATATATTGTTATGTACGGACACAGATTATTATAATCGCTTGCACTACTGACATGATCACGTGCACATAGCACCCTTTGCTGAAAACTTGGAGGAATCCCTTAACTTAAATTGAAAAAAAAAACGCTTGTCAACACTTGTTCTTAATTACAAACTGATATTAAATTAGTTGACTAAATTCAACCAAGTTGTTTTTATTAAGTTGATCTAAAATAAAAAAAAATTAATCAGCCGAAAATTATAATGAAGATGCACTTTGCTCTATTTAGATTAGGGTAATTCAGAATCAGATCGAACATATTTTTAAGCCCAGATATTTGTTTTTTACATAATCTTTTAAATATAATAATTAATGCAAATGGGATTAAGATTTAATTTGTCAATTTTTTGCGAATTTTAACATGATTTTCAATATTTCTGTACGTAGTCTAATAATGACAAAAAGAAAATATTAATCTTTAATCAAATTTCTATATTAAGATTTCAAAAATCACTTGGAAAGATTTGAAAAGAACCCGTGTCAAGTAAGACATTTTGTAATATCTCTTTCAATATTAATAGCAGCCGGNCCAACGAGGCCGGAGATAAAAAATCGGAGCCGACGGAGGTCACTTTTCAGAGGTTCCAAGACTCCGGAAAGAGATATCGACAATCTGACTTCATATCCTGCTCCTAACAAATTATATGAGTCTACGTTCAAAAATAGAACCGGCTGCTATTAATATTGAAAGAGATATTACAAAATGTCTTACTTGACACGGGTTCTTTACGAGATGACAAAATTTTTCTGACAAAAAATCATAAAAACTACTTTTACCTTTGCATCTTTGATATTTCTAAGTGCAATATCAATTGTAACAGGTAGTTTTATACTTTTAGTAATCTCCACCGAAGACGCCATTTTAAAACCTGACTCTGGAAAAATAAATTTGAAATTTTACAAAATTGAACATTAAAAAATGAATATCTACTAGAGGAAATAATCAATCACAAATCTTTAGAACAAATGAAAAAAATAAGTTTACAAAAAATTTTCTCGCAAGATAAAAAGATCCCATTTTTGGGGAAAAAATAATTGTTCAAAAATCAAAAATAAACATTAAAAATTGAGATTAGTAAACAAAATCAAAACAAACAAACAAGTTACCCAATATAGGTCTGACAAAAAATATGACTGGCTTTAGGGTCAGCTAGGTACAATTTTCAGGTTAAATGATGCTCCCAGTTGAGTGATCTGCAGGGGCATGTATTTTTTAGAATCGTAAATATTTGTCCTCTTTCCTGGCGGGGGTCTGGATTATTTTTCTTTAAAAAATATATATGAACATGGGGGGTGGGGGTCATAAGCTAATCCCACTCCTCCTCGGACTGATATACATCCTCTTGGTCCCACTGGTGGCCCCCTACGTCAACATCTCCATCATCTCCTTTATCTCGATTGAAGCAAGGACACCCATACGGACTACCAATCTAGCACAGGTATCATTATTTAAATTTAAATAAAAACAAAGAAATTTAATGTTTTAAGAAGAGTTTGAAGCCCAAATAAGAAAAGCAAAAACTGCATGATTACCAATAACAATCGGAAGCATGAAGTTTTTGTGCATTCTTTTGATTAGGAGAAGATTTTGTAATTTGTGCTTCAGACATTTTTGCTCACTTACATTAACAATAACAAAGAAATATCTAAAACCAGAAAATTTGATTTAGCAATTTATCTAAATCAAAAATAATTCAGACGACATTTAGAATACTTACAGAATTGGATATATAGTTATATAAGGTTAAATTGTTTGAAAAAATGAATAGAATGGAGAATGAGGAAAGAATAAGAAGAGCTGCAAAAAAATTATTTTCAGTAATTACCCAGAATTAAACTGTATATTCCCTCCCCCCCCTGATTCATCAAGAAAATATAAACCCCTGTATTCACCTCGTCTAGTTCGTGACTTCCAAATATCTCACAAGGTCCAGGAAAGTCGTCTTCCTCTTCCTCAAACTCAATTAAAACCTTAACAGTGAAATTATTATATTTTAAAAATATTTCAAACAAAAATCACCCGTAAAATATAAAAAGTTTATAAGACGATACAGCTAAATCAAAACCACTTTATGTCAACTTATGAAGAGGAAAAAACTGACTTTATACATCCCTAGTGGACATGGAGAAATCATGATTTCATTGTAACGAATATCAAAACTATTTTTTTGTTTACATTTTATGAATACAGTCCGAATATGACTATAAAAGTCTATGAATGTAAATAAAAACTGAAATTTTGAACAAATGTTTCCTTACTTTTCCATCCTCTATCTTTAGGCCTTTGTTACTCAGTGCCAGCGTTATACGTTCCATATCCTCAGTTATCTAATAAATCAATCAATCAATCAATCAATCAATCAATCAATTAATCAATCATACCCATAACATAACATCATATTTTTATAACAAATCGAGATAGTTGTTAGCCATTTCGTTAGTTATTCTATTTTTGGAAAAGAAATGATCTTGTAGGTTTAATAAAAATATAATTTGGGAACTCAATAGAAAATCTAGTAAAAGCAAATTTCAAACTAAAGATCTATTTATATTTTTTCTAAATAGTTTCTAAAACTTTGGAAAATATCAATTAATAATCAAAGCAATTTTTAAACAAAAAGCTCCATTTGAATATTTTCAAATTGAAATTTTAGTTTAAAAAAAACCTTTAGTAAGTACATTAATCTGGTTAATTGATCGATACCTTATTTACTCCATAGAAACCAATTAGAGAAGATATATCTACAGGAACTAGGTTGGATTCCATAAACTCATCACAGCTGGTTCTTAGCTCCATTGCTATAGTTCTGAGTATTATTAGTATCATTATCATTATCATTATCATTATCATTATCATTATCATTATCATTATCATTATCATTATCATTATCATTATCATTATCATTATCGTTATCATTATCGTTATCATTATCGTTATCATTATCGGTATCATTATCGTTATCATTATCGTTATCATTATCGTTATCATTATCGTTATCGTTATCATTATCGTTCTTATTATCGTTATCATTATCGTTATCATTATCGTTATCATTATCGTTATCATTATCGTAATCATTATCGTTATCATTATCGTTATCATTGTCGTTATAATTGTTGTTATCATTGTTGTTATCATTGTTGTTATCATTGTTGTTATCATTGTTGTTATCATTGTTGTTAACATTGTTGTTATCATTGTTGTTATCATTGTTGTTATTATTGTTGTTATTATTGTTGTTATTATTGTTGTTATTATTGTTATTGTTATTATTGTTATTGTTATTGTTATTATTGTTATTATTGTTGTTATTGTTATTGTTGTTATTGTTATTGTTATTGTTATTGTTATTGTTATTGTTGTTGTTATTGTTATTGTTATTGTTATTGTTATTGTTTTTTTTTTTTAGCGATATTCCATCTAATATAAATGAACATAAAAAAACAGTGACTGTCGTAAAAACATACAAATTTCACAATTTTTGGTAAGAACGTTTTCGGGTAAGAAAAGTTTTCAGAAAACATTAACCCACCACTAATTACTTATTCTAAACTAAGATTCTGGTTTCGTCATGGCAGTTGATGTGAGTATTAGTATTCCTTAAAGATGAAACAGCTTGCGAACTAAGTGTTCAAAAATTACAAGCGGTTCTCTACAGAAATAAGTAAAAGTCTATCGTCCTTGACAGTTTTAAAGGGTACCTTTACAATTTGGGGACTCCCTTCTTTAAATAGAAAGTCACTAGAAATTACGCTTACAGTCCCTTTAATATTATATGAAATTTTACCTACTAGCGTACCAGACTTCGTCTTCCAATCTCTCCTCCTCACTCCTCTCATCCTTGCAGAAGGGGTACTCGTGGCTCACGATACTCTTGTACACCTCGATCACTTCATCCTCAAGCTCACATTTACTTACTCCATCTTCGTCTCCAGTTCAGAGGTGTATATTTTTAAGAATTAACCCCCCCCCTAAACCCCTTAAAAAATGTTTGCCCCTCCGCGCAAACACACCTATTTTCTGGGGGAAAAAAATATTATTAAAAAAAATGATTTTTAAAGAAAATATACACCCCTGCTTCAGTTCTAATTCTTCCATACTCGGATACTTCTGAAGCTTGTTCTATCTTCCTCTTAAACACTGCTACCTGCAAGAATATATATTAATTTTTAGGAAATAAAACCTCAAGGACATGATTACTGACTAGGTCCTATGAAAGAACCAGAAGGAACACTAGACTACAAGGATAATGAATCCATGAAAGGAAGGACACTCTGAATAGGTCCATATAAAACAAGACCACTAGATTACAAGGATAAAGAAAACCTGAATAGAAGGACCCTCTGAATAGGTCCATATGAAACAGGACCACTAGATTACAAGAATAATGAATACCTGAAAGGAAGGACCGTCCTGAGTAGGTCTCTGTGGACCAGGACGACTATTTTATTACAAGGATATTGAACATCTGAGAGCAAGGACCCTCCTGACTAGGTCCCTATGGACCAGGACCACTAGATTGCAAGAATAATAAAAACCTGAGAGCAAGGACCCTCCTAAATAGGTGTAAAACCTATATTTAAGCCCTGTTTAGGAAAGAACTAGAATGAAGGCTGAAGTAGGAAACCTACCGAGAACTCAAGACTGAACTGAATTCAAGCATTATCACCAGATCAACCATATGAAGATATGAAGTACTTTTATTAACTTTCATAATATTTAGCCTATATTCAACCCTGCTTTTAAATGCATATTTACTCTGTTTATTCTATAACTTGCAATTTTATATGTGAATTGGAGCAAAAAGAAAAGATTTTAAACTTATATATATAAAAGGAAGCACGTGCAATACCATCAATCTTAAAAATGTAACCATGTATGTAAACCTATTTACTCCCAAAACATTGATTAAAATATTAAATTAGAGGCCTTTTTCAGACCAAACAATATGGTCTTTCTTGGATGCAAATCTGAATAATTTCTCCACGATATAAACAAAAGGTTTGAGAAATATTATAATACTGTACATTCTTTAACGTACTGTATTTCTTGTACATGGGAACAGTGTACACGTTGCTGTACCCTGATCTCATCCCTCCCCGGTGCATCGACAATATATACCCCTGTTAAGGCGCTGAGGACATTATCGTTGTATCCTGACCCCAGCTGACTGGTTTCTGTGAGATCGGAAGACTTCACTAAAGATTGACTAGAGAACGTTGTTTCTAAGCCCTGAGCGGATTCCTAAACTATCTGGAGAACGTTGTTTCCCAGCCCTTAGCGGATTCCTTAACTCTCTGGAGAACGTTGTTTCCCAGCCCTGAGCGGATTCCTTAACTCTCTGGAGAACGTTGTTCCCAGCCCTGTGCGGATTCCTAAATTATCTGGAGATGTGGACGGTGCTCCACCCACTCAGTCGATGCACCAAATGTAAGCACTCATTTAATATATTCGTGTGATTGATTGATTGTAAAATAATAATTAGTTGATGGTATTGCTTTAAAACTTTTAAATTATATGGAACTGATTAATATTGTGATTTATTTTTTCAGTTTCCACCGCAAGACGTGCTTTCCTCGTTCCTAGAGTATAAATGAACTGTGGATATTTACAGAAACAAGCGCGTGAGAAATGGGTATGATGACTGGAGCCTGCGTCCGGCATTTGGCGTGAAGACTTAATTGAAAATTAGGTGAGAAATGCACAATAGGTCCCTATGGACCAGGACCACTAGATTGCAAGAATAATGAATATCTAAGAGCAAGGACCCTCCTAAATAGGTCCCTATGGACCAGGACCACTAGATTACAAGGATAATAAATACCTGAGAGCAAGGACCCTCCTGAGTAGGTCCCCCTGAGGGAAAGCCTACACCCTCGAATGAGACTTGATATTCAGGAAATCTAGAAACTACTCCCTCGGCCCAGTTCTGGAACTCAACTCTACATAAATAATAATAATAAACCATGTGAAAAGTTTATTGTCCCGGCTTGAAAGGGACTGTAAGCGTAATTTCAATTGGCCCTCCATGTAAAGATGGCAATACCTGATTTACAACGGTATCCTTAAAAGCTTTGTCTGATCAAGAATGAATTAAATATCAATGTTTTGTTTCTCTGAACTGTTTTACGGTTTCTCTGTGAAAGTTACTGGCACATTTCTTAATTGGAAAAACGTAAAGAAAAAAAACGTTTTTAGAGTCAGAAAATGGATCTTCCACATTTTTAATCAGAGTAAGGTGAAAATGCGGCATTGCCATCTTGGAGGGTCACTTAAAATTAAGCTTAAAGTCTCTTTAAAGCAGCCGGTACAAAAAAGGTTGGTTGACCAAATTTAAAGTAGTTGAAGATGGATGGGGGTATATAAAAATATTTCTAAAATTTTTCCCTCAAATGTGAAGACTCGACCATTTTTAAAACTACCTGGTCCACTCGAATTTATGGTCCCAGTGTCTGAAAGGACCAGGGAAGCTGTGGAAGAGAGTATTGTAGTCCCTGTTTGGTGTTGTTATCACAGCAATCTTGGGCCTCATGAAACCGAATACTGTCTATATTTGTAAATACAAACAATATTATCAAGTTTTATATTTTGAAATATCCAATTAACAATTTCATAAAAAGACCCAATCAAACTAAAAAACAAATCCAAACAAAAATCTATTTAGAGCTTTTAAACTTTTTATCTACAAAAATTCTTTAAAAGGTAATCTTTTCTTAAGAACATCAAGATCCCCAAACCGATGTCCCCCCCCCACACCCACACTCTACAAGATAGCAACCACACCGACAACCACATTCCCCTTTATCTCTAACTTATTCCAATTATTAAAAAAATCATTAATTAAAAATTGTTTATAAATAATGTTTCCTTGGGGAAAGCCTCTAATTCTTCCGGATAAAGATGTTCAATGAGTTCAATAGCACTGACGGCTTCAATATCTCGTAGCCTAGGATATATTCAGTATTTTCCAGCTGAAATCCCGGATTATAAGATACAGGGTTACCCGCAAAGGATGAGACTTCAGAGACGACTTTACAGAATGTATACTGTCTGTTTCCTTATATAAATGAATCCCTGTAAATATACACTTCGAAATAATCAAATTAGCCATTCAAATACTTTTTTTTGAAGGCAGCCGAATTAATTTAATCTTAATATCGTCATAGTTCAAGAGTTTCCAGTCGTCTTCAAATTCTCATCCTTTATGGGTAACCCTGTATATTGAAACTCAACTCATAGAAAGGATGTCTCAAGCAATCCCTGCAAAGAATGTTATGATTTTAGTTGGATGCTTTGTCCGGCTGAAGATACTGTGACCTAATTAAAGAGAAGCAGGTTCGATTACCGAAGGGTACCCTTTAAAAAAGCGTTGTCCGAGGAGACCTGAAAGGATATCTTCGTTTTTCAAAATATTTCGATTTTGGCAGAACTGAGCTGAACACTTACGAATGGTGGATATCGAGATCAGTCTCAACTGCTATCAATGCTTAACTGCTATCCAAAACTAGTTACTATCGAAATATGTTGCTATCAAAATTAGTTGTTTCCAAAATAAGTTGCTATCAAAACCAGTTCTTAGTTGCTATCATAAACAATTGTTGCTTTCTCAATAAGTTGCTATCAAAACCAGTCCTTAGTTGCTATCAAAACTTGTTGCTTTCTAAATAAGTTGTTATCAAAACTAGTTATTTCTTACAATAAATAAGTTGCTTTCTAAATAAGTTGTTATCAAAACCTGTTCGATGGATTCCTTTTGTAGAACAGCTACGCGCTTAGGATCCGTTTCTGTATTTCTGGCATCTGTAGGTGGCCTGTGTATTGTATGCTTTGTCTTTGTAGTGGAAATACAGGTAGTTATTAATATCTTTCAAAAGGTTGATACCTTTACTTGAGGCAACACAATGAGCCGGTTCCATGCCCACGCAAAGTTTGCCAGAGAATGAAAAATTCCAAATGTTGAGAAATTTATCCATATTTTTTGCAAATTTTTTGAAGAAAAAAAAAGGTAAAAGTAATGATTGAGAGGAAGTCGAAAATTGATAGCAAATGATGATTGATAGCAAAATTGTTGATTGCAACTGACGATTGATAGCAAATTGGCTTGATAGCAAGTGAGGCTTGAAAGCAAATGTGTCGATAGCAGTTGAGGTCGGAAAGCAAATGAGGCTTGATAGCAAATGAATGTGATCGCAACTGAGTTGATAGTAAATGAGTTTGATAGCAAATGTTTGGATAGCAAGTTAGGCGGATAGCAACTGACTTGATTTTAAGTGAGTTGCTAGCAAGGAGTTAATAGCAAATGATCGTGCTCCGATTAAATTTATATTTGTTTAAATGCTCTAAAAGCCGGCTTGTGAACAACTGACTTTAGTTCAGTTGGATATTAGTCCAATCGATATAGCATCGTATCTGTATTTGTAATTAAACGTATCTTTATTACATGTAGTAAGAAATGTGATATGCAACAAGAGCGGATTAAAAAGAAAATTAGAAGTTTCCACGGTGGATATTCAGATTAAGCGATCAGGATTAAGGGTATCCATTTCTAAAGTTTAAATCTGATCTTGTTACAATTTCATTGTCACTGTTACTCAGATAAAGGTTTTTGAATGGTATCGTTGCGAATCTAGCGTATAAGTCTTGGAATGGAAGGTCAATTAAAATGACTCCGACAAGTATGCAATGACAGGTTTTTATTTAAACAAATTAAAATAAGTAGAAGTATTAGAAACTAATCTGTCTAAACTAATTAGGAAAAATATCGAATCCAAAAATTGTAAAGAAAAAATCGGAAATTTAAATCTTGAATGATAATATTATTATTAACCTTGAATCCAAATCAGAAATACTTCCACAAAGCAACTCAATCCTAAGCGGGTTCTCCCTAGATCCTGAATTAATTTTCAATTCAAGGGACTGTAGCTATAAGAGTTTTAAGAAACTTATTTACCGAGATAATCTGCTATGAGAGGTTTAAGAAACTGATTTACTGAGATAATCTGCTATAAGAGGTTTAAGAAACTGATTTACCGAGATAACCTGCTATTAGAGGTTTAAGAAACTGATTTACCAAGATAATCTGCTATTAGAGGTTTAAGAAACTGATTTACCGAGATAATCTGCTATTAGAGGTTTAAGAAACTGATTTACCGAGATAATCTGCTATTAGAGGATTAAGAAACTGATTTACCGAGATAATCTGCTATTAGAGGTTTAAGAAAGCGTCCATTATCCCTGAGAATCTCTTCATCTATANAACTTCTGAATGAGATCAACGCCTGAAGGCCCCGATGGATATTTTATAAAGGTTTTATTCACTGAATTGACGGAAATACTTGACTTTACGGCGAAAAAAAATATGAATTTTTGGATAGAAAGTATAAAAATGACATAGAAAACTTGCCTTTTGATGTTAAATTATAATTTTTACCCCCAGAGCACCAAACAATAATTGCCCACTAACACCCCAACATTAATTTTTTTTAATTACTTACCCTGAGAAACTTACACTCACTGCAGCCAAGATCAACAAACGACTAAATCAAATAAAAATATATTTCTCTATTCTTCCAGGGCCCTCGGAGTGCATGCATGGTACAGATTACAGAAGGATTAATATATAATAAAGTTGTTGTAGATTTAAGGAATTTTTGAGGTTCTCGATTCTGATTGATTGATTTATTGATTGATTTATATTACCTTAAAAATTCCATATTCCTTTTCTTCCTTCTCTACTATATCCAAGACTAGTCGGTATCTAGAAACAAATAAAGTTAAACATATTTTGCATTTGGATGGGCGTTTTATAGTCATTAATAGCCCCCCTACAAGGGAATAGGGTAAACCATAACATTGTTAGAAAGAGAACCGTTCTCATATTTTTCTACAGAGAACTTCAGCACATCATTAAGAGGCGGAATTTACTTTGAGAGCTGATAACTTTTCCGCAGTTAAACTACTTCTCGATATTAATTGATTGATTGATTGATCTGAATATTTGATCTGAATTTGCCAGTGGAATATGTTACAAGTAGCTAACCTTGGAATATAAAGAGGAGGGTCAAACAGTACAATTAAATAACCTTTGAATACAGAGAGGAGGGCCAAACAGTACAATTAAATAACCTTTGAATATAGAGGAGGGCCAAACAGTACAATTAAATAACCTTTGAATACAGAGAGGAGGGCCAAACAGTACAATTAACTAACCTTTGAATATAGAGAGGAGGGTCAAACAGTACAAGTAACTAACCTTTGAATATAGAGAGGAGGGTCAAACAGTACAAGTAACTAACCTTGGAATATAGAGAGGAGGGTCAAACAGTACAATTAAATAACCTTTGAATACAGAGAGGAGGGTCAAACAGTACAAGTAACTAACCTTTGAATATAGAGAGGAGGGTCAAACAGTACAAGTAACTAACCTTTGAATATAGAGAGGAGGGTCAAACAGTACAAGTAACTAACCTTTAAATATAGAGAGGAGGGTCAAACAGTACAAATAACATATCTTTGAATATCGAGAGGAGGTTCAAAAAGTACAAATAACTAACCTTTGAATATACGAGAGCAGGGTGAAACAGTACAAATAACATATCTTTGAATATCGAGAGGAACGTCAAACAGTACAATTTACTAACCTTTAGTACAATTAACTAAACTTTGAATATAGAGAGGAGGGTGAAATAGTACAAGTAACTAACCTTTGAATATCGAGAGGAGGGTCAAAAAGTACAAATAACTAACCTTTGAATATACAGAGAGCAGGGTCAAACAGTACAAGTTACTAACCTTTGAATATAGAGAGGAGGGTCAAACAGTACATCTCCGTACTCAGGTTCTGAAACTTTTAATAATACTAATTATTTGAAACTCAAAATGGATTAATAATGATTATCATTGAAATCATTCAAATTAATAGCGCTGTTAATTCCAATCTCTTTTACAAAACAAGAGATTATTCAGTCAAACTAACACGAAGGCTTTGTCTGATAAAGTATGAATTAGAAATGCGTTTTTTGTTTTGTTTACATAAACTGTTCATTTTCATTTGTGGTTGCTCTGCGCATTTCTTGCTTGTAAAAAAACAATAATGAAAATAAACACTTTTCGAGACAAAAATCGACGTTAGATTCACGATTTTTATCAGATTATGATTTCAAGGGTACCGTTGTAAATCGGGCATTGCCATCTTTTCATGAAATTACGCTTAGTCACTTTAATATCTCTGATAAATTCATTCTCTAGTACAGAAAAAGGGAACTGTTTGGTGAAACTAAAACAAAGGCATTATAAACTTAATTTTGCAAGGTATATTTTCAAGAGCTTCCCTCGGGGGGGGGGGGGGAATAAAAACTGGACATCAAAAACAAGTTCTTTTGATACTTTCGATAATTTTTAATAGTAAATTGATTAATTTTCCCAATTTAACGAATGAAACACTGAAAAAGAATAAAACATACTTAACATCTGGAGGAAATGATTTTTCAATAAAATATACACTCCTGTCATTTAATTTACCTGGAGGTTCCTCTTCCTCCTCCTCCGTGTTATCCTCCTCATTATCCTGAATCTCTGGAACAACCTCGTCATCCTCGATCACAAGGTTTCTGATGTTTCGAGCAGCTTCCTCTATTTCCTCTTCAACACCTTCTCCTTCTCCTTCTGCAAAAAAAACTAATTGTCTTAAGATGCAATCCTTATTAAATCAATAATCCTTATTCTTAATAATCATAATCATTCATTTTCCCTTTCCAACCCATAACCCCCCCCCCAAAAAAAAAATGCTGTCAAGTTCAAAAGATAGTCATCTTTTTCCGGTTTTTGTTAAATAAGTTATTTTTTTGCAAATTCAACTTTCATTTTTCAATTTTTTTTTTGTTTAAAACATATACCAAACATTGCAAAATATTATGGTATATAAAATTTCACCAACCCTGCACATTCTGGAACTGAGGCTAACAATATCTGTATTAAAATATATATATTTCCTCAACTATGCAAGCATAATAGCATTTACTTTTTTAACTTTGGTTGAGAATTCTCTAGTATCTTATTTTTTTAATATGAGCAATCTAAATCTTAATATTTCTGAATACCGTTGTGAATCAGGCATACCTCATTTTTATTATTTTTAATTAAGGGTCCCTTAAATAAAAACACTCTCACATTACTCACCATGCAAACGATTGTTCGGATCTATAATATAGGGGTTCCGGGTTTCACGAGGTGCCATTTTAGAACTCTGAAATAAATAAGTATAACAAAAGTAATAAAACATATTTAGAATCTATATTAGAAAGGGAATACGTGTGAGACCTACTGATTTATAAGATTATCTTTAAAATAAGAAATGTCGACTGTATGCGGGAATATATATTTTTGAGACATACTATCTGATGGACAGATGAAAAGCTGCCCGATTAACATCCGTACCCTTGAAAGATTTGTCCCATTAAGTATGAATTAGATTCTAACGTTTATAATTTTATTAACAGATTATTTTCAAATATGGTTTCTCTACAAAATTAACTTGCGAATTTCTCCTGCAGAAAAAAAAATAGGAATTATCCAAATTAAAGTATCAAGTAAGTAATTTCTCCTGAATACTGATGTATTATTAAATTATTAACGATAATTATACTAAGTTGAGTATAAAAATATATATTCTAACTCCTTTATTTCTAAATATTATCATGATCATCTCTACCAGGGCCTGGACAGCTGTGGTTCATATCTTGTTCATTATAGAAACTAAAAAATAGTATTGTTATTTTTTCTCCACAAATCAAACAATTTTCAGTGGTCAGAACTTCTGAATGAGATCAACGCCTGAAGGAACTAAACCGCCCTAAGCTTTCTTACTTCTGAGAGATATTTAAATCCTTTAAATAAGCTAAGCGTTAATCGGCATCTTTTCTAGTCGACACATTACGTTAAATCATTCTTCATATCTTGTAGAGTCCGTAGAGTCAAAATTGGATCGCAAAAGCATAAGGCCTGTCGTTTTTCACGAATTTAAGACGCGATTGCTAAATCAGAAATTCCACTGTGGATATCGAGTTAAGGCACTAAGATTAGTGTCACAAAAGTTTCGGCCTCATATCAAAGGTGTTTTCAGGGGACGGCTTTGGGGGTTCAGTCCCCCCTAGGTCAGTGAGCGCTGAGCCCCACCTCAATAAAAAAATTTAAGCCCCCCCCCCGGAAAATTCCCGATTACGCCCCTACCTCAGATTAAATTAAATAAAATAACATCCTTTTACCTAATCCCACAAAACGTGCAGTATGTATGCTCGGTTCTCAGGTACTCCACCACCATCTCCAGCTGCTCCTCGATACTGAACATAACCTCCTCCTCCTCCTCCTCTTCGTCCTCCTCATTCTCCGCATCTTCGTCCTCAAAATTAAAAATAATATTAACAAAAAATTGTTTCCAAAAAGGATCTTTTTTATTCAATAGTTGTTAACCCTTATTTATTTGTGGAGTTACTGTTTTGATTTCCAACAGTACCCTGTAATAATTAATCTGATAAGGAATAAATGGGATAACGTTGGTTTTACCCTAAAATTGATTTTTCAAATGTGTTTCACTCAAAAATTTATTTGCGGAGAAAAAATGAAGGAAAAAATATCATTTTTTCAAATAACATTTTTTTACAGTATTGACGATTTTAAGGGTACCGTTGTGAATCAGAACTGCAACTCTATAAATGTAGGGCTACTAAAAATTACGTATGACATTTTAGTTCTAACAAATCAAGCTAATTTTAGAGGTATAGAGAGGACATTTTGTAAAATGCTTCAACTCAGATTCTTTAGTTTTTATTTACCAGAAGTCTTTGTCGTCGTTCCTTCGGCCAAAACCAAGATTCCATTGGTTCAATAAACTCTTTACCGAGGTCAAGTTGTCTACAGGACTTCTGTGCTTTAGATAAGTCAGCCTCGGACCTCTTCAACATGTGTTTCTCCCGCATTTTAGCCCTGCAGGTTAAAAATAATCGATAATAAATATAAGGACTTATGTTAATATTTGAAATAAATAACATTTGTATTTTTACGTCATTATTACTATTATTATCAAAATTTGAATTACAGTCAAAGTATCATGTATGTACTGCTGGCTATGTTAAGTTACGATACTAAAATAAACTTGAAAATAAGACTTCTTTAAGACATAAGAAACTGCGCTTCGAGTCGTCCGTAGAGTAAGATTTATCATTATTTTATACTTTATCCTTAAAAGTGTTTTTAAATATATCAACATGAACATTTAACAGTTTTAATTTAACGATGAAAATCGCGTTTTTTTTTACATAATTGGGGAAAGAATATGGTTTTTTAATAATTGAATGTGGGGTGGCAGAATGAGTTCTTATAGAAAATACCTTAAAATACCCCCCCCCCCCCCTGGTGTTTAGAATATATTTAACCTGAAAGCAGCAGGATCAAACTCAGAAACCAGATCTTTAGCTCTTTTCTCCATTATCATTTGTTTCTTCCTTAGAAGCTGTTTTACAGCCTCCTCCCTACCCAACCCTCCTCGACCCTCTTAAGAAAAAATAATAATATTTTTTCTGAAGATTTTTAAATGATTGCTTTGAAAATACAGTGTGTCTCACAAAACTGGATAATTGAGAGATGACGAAAGTCGTCTTAGTTCTAAGAGCTTTTAGCGTAATAAAGTCCCGTTGATCATTGTTTACGATTGTGTTTTTGTGACGCCCTAAAATGGAGTTAAAATTACGATTATGTTGTTTTTAAGACACACTTCTGTAATTGAAGTTTTGTACTACCTTTAATCTGAATAGGAACCGGATCCTTTCTTCCTGTTCCATCCTTTCCCAAGCTAGTTCCCGGCGTATACCCCATTTTTGCTAGCATTGCAAACCCCTGCAAAAATTTCAGCAACATCAAATAAAATAGAACTGTAAAAGACGTCGTCCTGCTCCCAAACTCGAATTTTGAAAGGACTATACTAAATCGGAGGTTCTACAGGGAGATTTATAAAACATGAGAATAAAGTTATGATAAATTAAGTATTATTTTAAGATTTTTGTTATTCTTTTCATATAGGATGGTATTGTTAAATAGTTATAAAAATTTTGTCTGTCATAAAAGTTGAAGATATACAATCAACATACAATATGGTTAAATCCAACTTCCGAGTTTACCTTGTTACTGCTGTCCAGGACTTTCTGCATCCCCTCCTCCCTGTTCTCCTGCTCCTTCTCCTTTAATGACTTCTTGATTCTCTTGTTCAGTCTCTGCTCCTCCAGAACCAGCTCCCTCTTCTTCCACTTCTCATGCTCTCTAACCATTCATTCATTTATTCAGGGGAACATTTTGTGATAAAGGAAGTGGGGATAACATTCTGTGATCAAGAAAGTGGGGATAACATTCTGTGACCAAGATAGTGGGGATAACATTTTGTGATCAAGAAAGTAGGGATAACATTTTGTGATCAAGAAAGTGGGGATAACATTTTGTGATCAAGAAAGTAGGGATAACATTTTGTGATCAAGAAAGTGGGGATAACATTTTGTGATCAAGAAAGTGGGGATAACATATTGTGATCAAGAAAGTGGGGACAACATTTTGTGATTAAGAAAGTAGGGATAACATTTTGTGATCAAGAAAGTGGGGATAACATTTTGTGATCAAGAAAGTAGGGATTGTTATATGAAATGAAATGAAAGATAGATCGTGGAAGACCCCCAACGTGGGATCCCCAGACCGACTCCGAGAAGGGGACTCAGTCAGGTGCTGAATCCCCGACCGATTCAATCTGGCACCCTAATCTCATTCCCCCTACTCCAAGGAAATTTAATTAAGGCAGGTACAAACCAGACGCTGTCTAGCCATACATCCTGATGGCGAAAGTGTACCCTGCAATCAAAAGTGAGGTGAGAAGCAGTAGCTACTGGAAGTTAAAAGGGTGTCGTGATATTCTGCCAACGCTCAATGATGTTGTGGATGTGACTAGCTCGTATACGCAGCTCTGGTACTCCCGCATTATCCTCCCCTAGATACTTCCTTAGTGTGGTTTTAGACCCTAATGAGTTGACTAGACATTCCGGGATATTAAATTGGTTGCGCTCATAGCTAATACTCAAGCATTCGATTATGACATGGTGTTCTGTTAGTTTGCACAACACTCCTTTATTAAGACAATAAGGGCAATGCGAGAATATTTTTCCCCTTGGGTTTGGTCTTCTGTTACCCAAACCAACATCACCTACTCGTACCCTATTGAAAGTGCGCATCTCTACACTGTCATCTACATGACCCTGGAGTTTGAACCACTGGCGTGGTTGTGGCATACAGGCCAAGGAAGATAACTCTCGTTTCTGTGAGAGAATATTATTGACTGCTACACCCTTCAAGCTACTCTTCAGCAGCCTCTTGGGGCCAGCTAACCGCTGACCCCCCACCGCTTCTTTCCAAGGGACAAAGTGTACTCCTCAATTTTAAACGTTACACGGCCCATTTACAACGGTATACTTAATACTTATGCCATTTATTGGACAAACAATGAGGAAGATATCGTAGTGTTTCTGTTTGAAAAGATCAAAATTCCATGTCTCTGATGTGTTCATCCGAAGGTCACTTTAAAAATTAATAAATTTTCAGATGAAAAACCAGGAATAACTCTATCATTATTAACACCTGAAGGATGAGCTGGTTTTTAGAAAAGGTCAATGCATCGCTTCATGACACGAATAAATTTACAAAATAATCAAAAATCCTTTTTAGTTCGTTTTTTACTTTACAAAAAAAACTCTAAGAAGATTTCATAAATAATGAATAGTTCCTTTTTCCATCGTAAGTTTTAATGAGACCAGGCTTAGAAGATCCAGTCTAAATAAATAATTTTCATCATACAATAACTTTCTTAAAAATTCAAGAAAAACAAACGCACGGAAACCCTGCAATTTTATATCCATGTAAGTTTTCGTGAAAAACTATAATTTTTATCAATTGCCATAAAATTGACATTAAAAACATATTTTGAGAAATCCTTATTTCAAAATTGAAAAATTACAAAAATAATGATTTTTTTCACATTAAGAATTTAACCTGTTCTGTGCATTTATTCAAAAAATCATCCGACATATAATCATATTCTTCCTCAGTCATTTTTAGTCTGAAATAATGATTATTTTTTTAGAAATTTTTCTCCTACAACCACGAAGTGGTAACTCTTAAATTCAATTTATAAAGCCGTTAAATCCGTGAAAATCAGCAGACTAGAATGTTTACTATCACAGGATCTTTTAACATTTAAACAAGGAAGTATTATAATTCAATAACTACAAAAAATGGTGCTTTCCAGAATAGACCTAGAATTAAATTAATTCTTATGAATTTTCTTTCCAACTGATGATTAGTTTTTCATAAATTTTTTTTCTAGAACCATGTAGTGGGAACTTTTAACTTCATGGCATGAGTTTAGATTTGGTTTCAGTGTATACTGTATACTGTATATGAAGGATTTAATAAACTAGAAAACGGTGTTCTTAAAACGTTTATCTTAAAAAGTTTAAAGACTTTTTTTTCAACATAAGAAGCGACATTTTTGAGTCAGCAATCCACCATCAGGAAAATTCTCAAGTTCTTTTTTATCATTCGATGACATTTGCTTTGGAAAGAATTAACAATAATATCTTCAACGAAAATTTATTTTGAAGATAAAATTTTATAGAGTTATTAAAAACATCTTCATAAATATATGATAAAACATCTTAAATTTTTTTAGCACCAAATTGTATTTTTAACTACATAATTTCTATTTTTTCTCTGATTTGAAAAGTTTTTGAAGATCTGAATTCCATCCTAACTTCTCAGATAGAGTTTTGCAACCTGTATCCGTATCCGTCCCAACATGCACGTCTCTATAGTTACCTTAATAGATATATTCAACGTAACATGATACAGGATTACCCCCAAAAAAATGAGACTTTAAAAACAATCTTAAATCTAACGAGCTGAAAATTTTTTATTATGTTCTGATTTAGATCTAGCCTTTTAATGAATAACTTGATGATTTGGCAAAGAAAGAAAAAGGTTCCCAGCTACATGAAACCTTAAATCAAGAATGAAGACCAAAATACTCGTACAGTCGTCTCAGTATCATTGTTTATGGTAATTAAAAAGTAGTAACACTTCTGTGAAGAAATAATCTGTTAAAATAACACCCGTCATTTAGCTGTTACATTTTTTAAATAATTTGAATCCCCTTTTAAATACATTTAAATTTTTCCTGACCGTCATGGAAAATATGTTAAATTTAGTATTATCATCACTTAACAGTGTCTTTTTTTCTCCCTTGATCCATTTGCGACTATTTAGATAATTTAAATTTAATTTTTTAACTTTTTTCAAATACTGTTAACAATTTGTTCGGGTCTTTTTTACTTTTTCCATTTTCTGCGTTTTTCTAGCTGGTAACTTTTCTTCAATAAGGAACATATATAAGGAAATGGAATCTGAAAGAGACACCAATGCAAGGGGGGCCGGGGGGGGGGGGGGGGGTTAAATTCTATTATATACCTGGAGAATCGTACTGCAATCCTTTCTTTTCTAGTATACTTGATAAATCTGTTGCAATGCCGACCTTTTCAATAATATAATATAAATTAAAAAGACAGTTTTTAAACAGAGTGTTCCAAGACAACTTTTCAGTATTCAAACTTCTCAACGTTCAGTGCTGGCAAGAAACTATTTATTAAATTATGATTTTTCTCAATAACGGAATATGTCTGTAAAAACAGTATTTTTCAATAATACTTTCAGATTTCGGGGAATTTTTTTTTTAAAAATACCTTTTCCTTATTGATTAGAAGTCTGGGACATGTATTCTTAACACAGTCAATCAACCCACAGAACGGCTGAGAACAATTATTGTTCAGAATTATTAACACTAAATATTTAATAATACAAAGGTAGGTTGAAAATAAAAGCTTCTACCGAGTTTCGGGCAAATCGGTCAAAGGGTTCCTTTGACCGATACAGACAAACAGAGAGTATTACTTTACATATATAGATGTACATGGCAGAAGGGCGGGGGTATAGAGTTATAAAAATAGTTCAAATCCAAATCGAGGTAAAAACTACGTGTTACAAAGCTTTTTTATTAGAAACTTCATCTCGAGCGTTATATTTTATATTCCAAATAGCATTTTTAAAATTGTGCGGTGTTAAATGCAAAACTCTTTTTTTTTATATTATTTTTATATATTAAAAAAAATTCAATTTTTTGTTTAATTCTATAAGGGAAAAAATGTTTTTAGGAACATTCTTGAAACTAAATGTTATCCCCAACTTATGTGAACTAACCTGAACCCTGAAATGACTTATACTTAACCTGAACCCTGAATTGACTTTAACTGTCCTAAACTGACTTGAACTAACCTTAATTGACTTGAACTAGCCTAAACTGACTTGAACTAGTCTAAACTGACTTGAACTAACCTAGACTGACTTGAACCAACCTAGAGTGACTTGAACTAACCTAGACTGACTTGAACTAACCTAGACTGACTTGAACCAACCTAAAGTGACTTGAACTAACCTGAACCAGTAAACTGGTTCCAAGGATAATGAGAAGATCACAAATCTTGAAATCTTGCTCCAAACATGTAAAATATTTTTCAGGTAAATCTTCACCAAACAGCAGGACATCAGGTTTAACTAATCCCTGGAAAAAATAAACTTTTTTCCTTTATCATTAAAAAATTGTAAATCCAGCCATAAACATCTGAACAAAATCTTTTACATTTTGTTGACGTAATTTTGATCCGAAGTTATGTTATTCTAAACATTAACACGTTTTTAAATTGACTGTAAGCGAAATTCCAAGTGACCCTCCATGTAAAGATAGCAGTTGCCCAATTCACAACAGTACCCTTGAAACCTTTATCTCACCAATAATGTGGAAGATAGTGTGGTTTTTAAGGTTCAGAAGTGTTTCATTATGATAATACGTATGTTTTCCGGCAGTAGAAATGCGCAAGTCACTTTTGTATAAACATGTATATCTAATTCATACTTGATTAGAAAAAGCTTTTAAGGGTATCGTTGTGAATCAGGTATTGCCATCTTTGCATGGAGGGTCGATTGAAATTGCGCTTACAGTCCCTTTAACGCGTATATAGAAAAGAACAAGTAAAGGTTATTTATACTTCAATCTTCATAAAACATTAATTACATTAATCTAATTTCCTTCTACCTGGCATTCATTACATTTAGGAAGCGTATCAGACAATATTCGTTCTTTAGTCCATCCTCTACTATGCTCCTGAAGCAGTATCAATTAATTCTTTATTTCCCCTCAAAACCAATAAAAACCCCCAGAAATGTTTTTTATGCTTTGAGGAAAAAGATAAAATCGGAAATCAAAGGGAAAGTTTTTTCATCCATTATGATATTTTGTACTCAACATTCATTTATTATTCTTTAGAAAATATTTTACCCCGCAATTCAGGAAATATAAACACCCTAAAAGATGTGTTCTTATATCTAACAACTAATTTTTTAAACACCCTGACAAAATTGGGTTAGAGGGAAAGAATTATTGTTAGGAAACTGATTCAAATGTTCTTTCTGCTCCACTTACCCATGATTCCCCCCAACAGCTTGGTCCCGAAGGACAGTGGTGTAACTTAACATCCCACTCTGCGCAATTTCCGTGAAAAAAATCGCGCATTTTCGTCTCAAAAGACGGTTAAATTGTGAACAACTGCTTTAAGGAGGTTAAGAGAATTTTACTTAAAGGAAACCCTCGACCAAAAAAATATTTTTTTTAAAGTTTCAATATAGCTAAATAATATGACACTTTTTAACCCACCCATGACACAACGAAATGGAAAGACGACATTAAGGCAGTTATATGTTTTTTTTATGTTGAAATAAAACTTAAAGTTTTCCAGAAACTTAAAAAGAAAAATATTATATTAAATGGGCCTGTATACGCTTTTATTCTAGGTATTTAAATTTGTAACTTATTTCCAACCGTCGTCTTCCCATTCCACAGTTGCATGAGTCTCTCAATACCTTGCTGCATTGTAAGCAATGAGAAGTATTTATAGAACCGTGAGACTCCACAAGCTTATCTTTTCCCAATCCAGCTTCTAGCTCTACACTTCGTCAAAAAATATTAGCATTGGAGTGAGTACAGCGATTGCCAGAAAACAGTGGAATAATTCTCGTCTTAGTTCTTTAATTGTATTTTGTACACTTACCTGGGATTGTGTAATTGATATATAAAGTATAAATATATAAATTGCAAATATTTTTCAGTTAAAATTTTTGTGCTGTGAATCTCGGGATTAAGCAATTAATCTTTATCTTGTGCAGAACCCCGAGGTTGTTATACCCTGGAGGAACAACTTTAATTGAGGGATCAAGCATTCATCCTCAGTTTTATAAGGACCCACATTGGATATCGAGATCTAGCGTTCAAGATTAACGTGACTTTGAGTACAATTTTATCGAAGAATAAAATTAGTTACAAATTAATTAATTCACATTGACATTTCCAATAGAGAGAGAAGTAAGACGACAATCATGTCATTGTTTCCTGATTACTACTGTATTTATTTAAAAATTATATCACTGTAAAAAGATAAATTTGAAATACAGATCTAATGAGATAAAAATCTCCAATTTGAAAAACAATTCAAATAAATAACAAACTGCATGAAAATAGTAAAAAAAAAGAAGATATTTTCGATAATGTACTACCTAATGAGTCTACGTTCTGTGTATACACCCTTAGTAGTAATCCCTTCTTCTCCAGTAGTGCAATAAAGTAGTGGGTTAAGGTTGGATTATGATCCAGGTATAGCTCTTTAATCAAATCAAACATTGGCTTAGGATTCTCGGAGAAATATCTATAAAAATTGGTATTCATCCAAAAAAATATTTGCAATGATAATTGTCTAGGGCTACAAATAAAATGTGCAAGGGATTTAGGAAGGTATTGTAACACTTCATAGCTATCCGGTCTTCCGGAATTAGAATGGGCTTTATTTCGAAGATTTGGATGTCATAAAAAACATATGAAGAAAGACAAACAATCTTATAATTCTTAAAGAAAATTTACCTGATATCAAGTCCTGCAGGCGAGTTAGAAGAATCAGAGTTGGCTATTTTGCTGTATAGCCCAGTTCCTGGCGTCCTAAATACATAACAAACTTAATTGATTATTTTTTCGTTCCTTCCTTATCATTGATAATCCCCCCTTAATACTTATAAACCACAGATACTGAACAAGCTCAGGTTAAAGTTTCATAAAACCTTATCCGGCTCAAGCTTAGTTCCCTCAAATCTAATCCGGTTAAATCATTTTCCCTGAAATCCGATCCGGCTTTACCATAGTCCCCTAAAAGTGACTAAAACTTAATCCAGATCAAGTATTTTCCCTAAAATCTAATACGGCTCAAATTTGTTCCCGAAATCTAATCCGGCTCAAGTACAGTCGAATAAATCTGATTCGGCCTAGTTCCCTAAAACCTTATCCGGCTCAAGCATAGTCCCCTAAAATCTAATCCGGCTCAAGTTTATTCCCTAAAATCTAATCCGACTCAGGTATAGTCAACTAAAATTTGATCCGGCTCAAGCATAGTTCCCTACACTCTAATCTGGCTGGGCTCAAGTGTGTTCCTTAAAATCTAATCCGACTCAGGTATAGTCAACTAAAATTTGATCCGGCTCAAGCATAGTTCCCTACACTCTAATCCGGCTGGGCTCAAGTGTGTTCCTTAAAATCTAATCCGGCTCAGGTATAGTCAGTGTCACCTAAAATCTGACCCGGCTCAAATATAAATACCTAAAATCCGGAATCCCTGCTCCTGTAGAAATTCCGGCTCCGACCAGCACAATAATATTATTTGCTCGACCCTGCTTTATGTACTCAACAACCCCCTCCAGGTTCAGTTCGTCGAGAACATGAGGATTCAGTTGCTCAACCACCTGTTTAAATTTAACATTATTTGATGGAGTGTTCGCGAAAAATGAAAGGGGATATAAATTACTTTTTTTCTGTTGCTTATATAAGGAGAAAATGGTGTCTTATACCCAAGTGAGTAGCGTCCACATGCAATCGATATCGAATTCAATTCCGTATCAGCCTTTACCCCCTTTCAGTTTTCCCTTCAAAACTATCTTCATCTAAGACTTAAACAACCTCTTCCCCTCTTTGGTTCAATCATTACGATGGGTCCGACTTCATTGTTTCAGAGGATAATTGTCCTTTAATGAATGATCGATGTAAGACTGTGTAGCGGAGTATATTTCCTCTCCCCTCCCATGTCTCTGAAAATCATTTTTCCTCAAATGTTTAGCATGTTTTACTTATTTATTTTTATTTTTTAGGGGGAAATAACTGAACGTTGGGGAGGAAAATATCAAGAGATGCAAAAAAACAATGAACGATGAACAATTCTTCGTTTTTCCCTCATTCATCAAAAATTATTTATACAACCCTGAGTCTGTGTATACACACCTTTACTGATAATTGGTTATTTGCGTATTTTCTTCTGATCTGATCTAATGAAAACCCATCTGGTCTATCCTCTCCGCCATCCTCATCACTAAACAATTATTTACTTTTAAACATGATATACAGGGATTTTATTTTCTTAAAGTGTCCCTAGAGACAGTTAAGGTACAATGCGTAAATTAGAGGACGCGGTAAAGTATTAAAGGAACTATCCTTGTAATTTTAAGTGACCATCCATGAAACAGATGGTGTTAGGTCCAATGCACCGTAGGTCGGATTGGGCATATTAAAAACAGCATATTAGTGCATCTGACCTACTTTGGACACGTTAGTAGGTTTGATGGGCCTTTTTCGTAGGTCGGATAGGCATTTTTAGTAGGTCGGATGGGCATTTTTCGTAGGTCGGATGGACATTTTTGTAGGTCGGATGGGCACTTTTCTTGGTCGGATGGGCATTTTTCTTGGTCGGATGGGCATTTTTCTTGGTCGGATGGGCATTTTTCGTAGGTCGGATGGGCATTTTTCAGGTCTATCCGACCTATACGAAAAATGCCCATCCGACCTACAAAAAGTGCCCATCCGACCTACGAAAAGTGCCCATCCGACCTACGAAAAATGCCCCCATCCGACCTACAAATGTGCCCATCTGACCTAAAAAATTGAGTGGCCGTCCGACAGCTACAATTGATAATATTTCTACCCTTATACTGCACGCAGGCATGACAAAAGCTGCTGAATAGGTCGGATGGGCAAGAAGATATGCCCATCCGACCTACAGCTGTCGTAAGTAAGATGTTGCAGTAGGTCGGATGGGCAGTATAGCGGATGGGCAATAGGACGTATGGGCAGTAGAGCGGATCACATTCAACAATATAAATGGAAGGTAACTTAAAATTACGCATAAAGCCAAAAAAGCTGGGCCTAGATTTTTGTTGTTGGAAGAAAACGTGCTTTTATGCATTTTGCATCCGGTGCAAATTTAAATGCATCACGGTCACACAGAGAAAGTTTTGGTTTAAGAAAATATAAATTTAAAAGTTACTACTTAAGCTTAAAATGAAAGTTTAAATGATTAAAATGTCAATTAATGTGGTTAATACAAGATCAAAGAATTCTAATCCTCCTTCCTTGGAATAAATACATTAAAATTAAATATGAAATATATAATTTTAAAATGAGGAAAAAACTGTCAAGGATATACGTACAATTTCTGTAAAACCCGTATAATATTTACAGGGTGGGGTGAAAATAAAATTAATAACATTCTTTTGTGCTTTGTCGATTGTCGTTGTAATTCTTTTAAACGAGGGGCATTCCCAATTCATACCGTTTAATCCTTTATTTGATAAATAATCTGGAAGATATCATTGTTTTTTATAGCTTTAAAAAGTTTTGAATTCTGACAATTTTCTCCATTGTTTCTGAAGCAGGAATGCGCAATGTCACTTTTTAAAAAAGCCACAATTTAAGATTAAGGATCGGACATAGCTTTAAAAGGTTTAACGTTGTGAATCTGACAAGCCTCTCTATAAATTGAAATTACGTCTACAATCATATTAAAAAAATTGTCCTTTTGACTTAAAGAAAACGTAAATTGTAAAAAAGAAGAAATAACCTTGAACTTCCGGATATTTTTTCTTCCTCGTCGCTAGAACTCGTGTTTTCCTCCTCTAATAAAATAACTTTTCTGTTTTTGAAAAAATGTGATAAAATATTATTCTAAAATGAACACTTTAATTTCCAATTTTTTCTTTTTACCGGACACAAATATTCAATAATGGATTTCTGATGAAACAAAACTTTAAAATGAACAATATTACAAAAATTGCAAAACTTTTAGAATAAAATGTTTGTGCTTAGTACAGAAAGTATGTAACTTACTTTTACTAAACTATAAAGTAACAATATAGTGATTTTTTAATTTTTCATTACTTTTAGTTTTCTGGTTTAACATTTAATGCATTGCATACCTTTATTTTGCTGAGCATTTTTATCAAATGGATTTAGTTTTTCCATTTTTCTGAAAAATTTGGTTCATTGGATCTGATAACAATTATTTAACAAGTATCACATTTTTTTATAGATGTAAATTTAATCTACTGATAATTTAATGTATTCGTTGGGAGACGACATTTTCGTTCATTACGATTATATCATTTCCTATCTCGCAAGTAAAAGCATTTATTTCAAGCGAAGATACTGGTTCAACTATGATAGGTGTAGACAAAGAAACTTCAGAAGAAGCATTAACAGAAGATACAACTGAAGAGGTAGCACTGGCAGGAGATACAACCACAGAAGTAACATTTAGGGGAGATACAGCCACAGAAGTAGCATTAACGGGAGATACAACCACAGAAGTAGCAGTTGAATGAGTAGTAGGAAAGGTGGAGGTTATATCCTCGTATAAATGGACAAGCAAGCTTCCTTTCTCCGGTCCTCTCTCCTAAAAGCGTTTAAATTTCAAAGAGCTGAGCTACATGCCCGATTAACAGCGGTATTCCGTCAACCGGTACCATTGCAGCAGAGAAAGGGAAGGAAATTAACCGAATTTATCTGTTTGAAGTTTGAAGTTCACTGGAAAATAGAAATCATGTCTACAGTCCCTTTAAAAGCTATCAATCTATTTTTAAAAAATTATTAATTATGAGAGTTCAACTGTTTCAGGGATTTTTACCCAAGGAACTGTTTTTATCATGATATTGAAAACAATCTTGCTTTGAGTTCCTAGATTAAAGAAAGTTTGACTTAGTAACCTTGTTTTTGTTAGGAAAGAATCACAGCAACTTTGCCCCGATTTAAAACCGCTCAGAACTTAATCACATTTTAAAATCTGTGCTGTGTTTAAGTAGAGTATCGTGAAGAACAGATTTATACATAAGGAATCATAAGGAAAATCCCCCCCCAGACCCCACCCCTTTTTGAATCAATCTTTTCCTAAAAGTTATGTAACTTAACTGATTTTTTTTCGCTGAATTTGGAAAAAGGAAAAGTAAATTCATTTCTATGTTAAAAGTAATAAAAAACGTAGAAAACTGCTGCTGTACAAAGATTAATTTTTAATGGTATTAGAACTAAGCTGTAACTAGAAAGCTAACCTTGAATGACTGAGTAAGATGGGTTTGATTCTTTAAGGTGTAATAGTTTACAGGATGGAGACATTTATTTCTTGAGCATTTTCTCTCCTCATCCTCTTCCTCTTTAGTCTGGATACAAGAGGAACAATCTTGACACGATATCCTGAGTAGCGAATTTGAAATTAACATTTTAATTTTTCTTGTAATCTATCCCCCCCACCCCCCTCATTCTTTATAAATCATTTCCCCTCGAGGAGGGAAAATATTTAGCAATTGCAATAATTTCAGCTTACTTCGTGCAACCGATACAGACTCCACAGCTGACTTTCCTTCCAGACTTGACATAGAGACCTTGATCAAGCATACACCTTGACTTCAAACCAACCACGTCCATGTCCTGGTAGGCCTTCACCCTCACCAGCTCCTCGGCCTGGAAATCAGGCAGTTTACCGCAAACACTGTCCCACAGATAATGTTCATTATACATTAATTTATTCTTAAATACTTTCGCGCATTTTAGACAATAGTTCCTCAATCCGCGGCAACTGTTAATGTGTCTTGTCAAGTCTTTCTCTCGGGAAAATTTAAATTTACACTGATCACATTGATAAGGTTTCTCCTCGGAATGAGTTCTAAAATGTAGCTTCAGCTGGTAGGAATCTCTGGCTTTAAATGTGCATACATCACAACTCTTACTCTTTAATTTTATTTTGAAATGAGAACTCTTCTTGTGTCTTGATAAGTTAGATTTCAGAGAGAAAGATTTATCACATATATCACATGAGTGCTGCATTATTAACCTTACTTTCTCGCGTTCTCCAAATTCAGATAACCCTGAAATAAAATCTTAAATTTAACTAGACGGTTTGTTATTAGGTATTTAAAAGGAATCTACGTTTTTCCTATCAAAGTATGGCCAATTAAATAAATAGGGGGTCTGTCCTTTTTAGGGTTAGGTAAAGGCTAAGACAATTTCTGGGCCGAGCGCTACGCCTAGGACAGGTTAAGGGGCCGAGCGCCGCGGCTAGAACAGGCTAAGGGCCCCTAAGAATATGAGGTATATTTCTAGAGAACGATTTTTGTTGTTTAAAGTCAAACCATGGGTACCCATGAGTCAATCACTAGGAGGAAATTCGCTTTTTGTTGTTGGTGCTGAATTAATGCGTGAATGCCGCGAGTTAATCTCAAAGAAAATAAAATTGGGAAATTCCGTTGATCGTCTTTTCTTCTACTGCATAAAAAGTAAACGGACCTTAAGGATTTCTGACCTACTGGTTTCCGACCTAAAACTGTGTTATATCTTTAAATACAGGGTGTCCCATGAAACATGATAGTTTGTGAATGGTTTAAAATTTCCTCTTCCATAATATGTTATGTTGTTCGACGAGGGGAGGAAGGCCAACCACATCAATCTCTAGTCCGAACCACATTCTCATCATTTTCTCGTCCGAACCACATCGAAATCCTCGTCCTTTCAATATTATTTTTTTGAAGTGTCCGATCCTTGAAAATAAATACATTTTTTTTAAATATGGCGACGTTAGGGCATAGATGAAATATCAAATTTTCCCAATTCAATTTTAGATTTGTGTAAAAATGAAAATGCTCCATAAACGATGTTCTACAAAAAAACGTCTGTAAAGAGCCCTTTCTTTCGCGGAAAATGCCGCAAAACATTCTCAAACTCGATGTAAACAACTTTTTGTAATATTTCAGCTGAATTTGGGTTAGAGATATGACTTAAAATTTTTATATGATTAAATACTGTTTGAATTCATAGGGTTGTGACCAATTAATTGTAGAAAATGATTTGAATAATATAAATTGAACATTATTTTTTCTATAATTTTAAGCATGCGGCAGGCAGTAGTGATTTCTTAGGGGGACAACAAATCTACCTTATTTGTAAATAAATCAGAAATCAATGATTATTTTGTATGGGTTGAAATGGAAAGATTAAAGATCATGTTCACGCGAATTCTTTGGTATAAATTTTTATTTGTGAAAGTTATCCATTTTGGAGGCAGAAGAGATTCAATTTTTAACCTAAATAATGTTTGACATCATTCTCGTGGATTTGAAGATTCCAACATCTCAAAATCCTTGGAAAACTTTATTCTAGTCATGTTTTATGCCCTAACGTCGCCATATTTTTAAAAAATGTATTTATTTTCAAGAATCGGACACTTAAAAAAAATAATATTGAAAGGACGAGGATTTCGATGTGGTTCGGACGAGAAAATGATGAGAATGTGGTTCGGACTAGAGATTGATGTGGTTGGCCTTCCTCCCCTCGTTCGACACCAAATGCAATAAGAAAAAAATTACATGTGAGTCATACTAAAGTGATAATTTATTTCAATAAAATATATTTGAGCAAAAGATTTGTTTAACAAAATAAACTGCAAAAAGCCTTGAAAATTCCTCCTGTGTACAGCACGAGAAAAAAAACGCAAAAATATTCTTTGAAAATTCCCGTCGTTTTTTCACAGATTTTAATTCTCGTAATTATCACGTGTAAGCTATGTATGAGATAATTCTAGTTCAATTCTTATCGTTTTTTCACAGATTTTAATTCTCGTAATTATCACGTGTAAGATGTATGAGATAATTCTAGTTCAATTCATGTCGTTTTTTCACATGTTGTGCTTGTAGCAAAGATACCAGTGCAAGATATCGTGTTAATCATGAGTAATGTACGCCCAGGCACGTAGTGGAGGGGGGACCGGTACCCCTGTGATCCCCCTAGACTCCCTAGACATGCACCATCCTAGGCCCCCCCTAGAGCCAGAGGCAGGCTCTAATTTATTAAACAGTAAACTTACATATATATTGAGATTTTAACTTTTCTTATCCGTCGACAATGTCACAATTTGTCCATTTTATGATTATTTCTCAAATTCTTTCTTGTACCTTAATTTTATTTACAATATTTTTTTCGTGGGGTTTCATTACAAATGATTGGTAATTATGGTCAGATGACTAATAGTCAGCCTTCAGGTAGATTAATATAGATTTTAAACTTTTTTAATACCGTTTTTTTAGGAAGGTGCACAAAAAAATTGCTAAAGTGCACTCCCCCCCCAGACTAAACCTCCACTATGCGCCTGTAGTACGCCAGAATATCTAGATTTTAATCCGTGGATTACGAGGGGGGGGGCGCCCCCCCCCCCGAGAGGCTGAGGGGAGCATCCATAGGGGGGCCCTTCTAATATTACATCTGTATGCATTTCCCTTCCTCAGGCTAGGCAATATATACATTCAAAGGTACATCGGACATGCCACTCTATAAATGGAGGTCACTTGAAATTACGCATGTATTCCATTTGAGTATAATTACATCGTATAGAAAAAATACTTTAAAATCTCACTTTTGCCCTGAACTAAAAAAGTTTCATTAAAAGAAACTTTAATCAATACTGCCTTCAGAGTAAATATATATTTGATATCATTATTTATAATGCAATCCAATGAAAATATAGATTATTTTTTAGAAACATTTCCATCTATATTTTTCATCCCTTGAAGCTTACACCACAGTCTTAAGAAGGATTGCCTGATTTTGTGTCCCCCCCCCCTTGGCAACATTGTGCCCCCCCCCCTGAAAATTACATAAATAACTTATTATAACGCTTGTAATATGGAAGTGTGTATATGATCGAATAGTTTACATAGTTAAAAAAGGTATCAATTTTTTTTCAAAAAAGGTTTTTTCAGGGAGGGGGCACAACAAATTTTTTTGCGCACAAAATGTGCCCCCTCTACACAAATGCCCTCGTACGCCCCTTATTTTAATTCTTGTAAAAATAACGTACAAAATATATGAGAAACTTCTTGTTTCATTTTTAATAGAGTTGCAAAATCACAACACTTGGTGCCTCTGCTCATCTTTTAGAAACCAAAAGTTTGTTGTAGTAAAATGAAATATTTTAACTGAAATAAATTTTTCAGATTATAACAAGCATGATCAATTAGTATAGAAAAGTTTTACATTGAATTTTGTATTGTATTTCTCAACATCCCCTTTTTGGAATATCAATCTTTTAGATATATCAAGGTAAACATTTTGTAATGATTATATACTTTTACACAGTATTTTTTATAATATATTTATATATCAGAAATCAATTATATACCCCCTCCTTTCCCGGGGTTTTTAAAAATGTAATTTAAGTAGATGGTAGAAAAATAATTTTTTCATGTAAAAATCTCGTGTTCATGTCGTGAAATAAACTCAAGTCTTCACCGTGTAAAAACTCGGTCCTAGACCCGTGGTCAAATCGTCGACATTCACCTCGACAACACGTTAATTATCATGGGTCACTCGTGTGAAATACACTAAATAATCTTGTATTCTTCATGAGTTTTTGTTAGTTATGTTATGTTGAAATCCTGAAAACACGCTTGATAAGTTACTTTGTTCGCAGGGAACAATTGCTCAAGATTGCATTTTTAATTAAGTTTCTTCTCCTAGCCTGGGGAATATATTACCATGAAGGTCTGGGTGTCCTAGGGCAGTTGTAGATTAACTTCATGGTATATTGGAGGAGGAGTATATTATTCCCAGGAGAGAAACAACTCCTCTTGGACAGAGGACCCATGCAAAATTCAGGGCGGGGAGGAAAAATGAGGGGGGACTATGGGGGCTCAGCCCCCCCTTCAATTGATGAATCCTAAGGTTTCCAGGTTTTTTTTTACCAGGGGGGCAGTAAAGTCCTCTTGCACCCCCCCCTGGGATTTATGGGCTAAAATCAGGTGTGGTGGGTAAAAACTGAGTTTTCCCCCATCTTAATTTGTCAAAAGCATTTCTCTTTTATCTAAAATCTCTCTCCCCTCCTCCCTTCTTGATAAATAATTATAGCTTTATGTTTTATGCTTTATGAGCTGTATGCAAGTGTAATCAGCTTGGTTCATCTAACGGACGTTTAAGTTTCCAGTTTTGGGGAGATTCAGAAGAAGGATTTTGAGAGTTTTGTTTCAAATATGATGGGTGAAGAATTATTTTTTCTTTAAATTTTAGAAAATTTAACTATTGAGTGCTTTCTGAAATAATTTATTTGGACATTTTTATTTCTATCCTGTCTTGTGAAATAGGGTTTAAATTCTATTCTCTTTGGGTTTAAAGTTTTTTTTTTGTATTGTGAAGAATCGTATCCTTTTCCTTTCTTTTATTGACTTAATGATTCTAATACACCATCGTACAGCAAAAAGTAACATTCAGACAAATTGAAATTATAAATAAATAAAATATGGCCAGGTTAGAAGAAGCTTTTTGTGCTCATCTTTTCTAGATCTTTACAAGTACATTCTTTACTTTCCCTTTATTAAAAATAAGTATTGGCTATTCGAGTGATTTAAAAGTTTTCAAAAATATACATTTATATTTATAGTTTAAATCAAATCTCTATATCTTATTATACCTCAAGATTTTTGTTTTTGATGGCAAATAGCTTCTTATTAAAACCACTTTTTATAAAACTAACTCTTGCCTTTCATAAACACTTTATTTTTAGAAAATTGTATTTTTGGATAATATTGGCGAACAAATTTATGTTTGTGTTTTGATGGAAGATTTATGGAAGACACCACACTAGGGAATTATAAAGTACGTATTTTTAGTTTATTTAAGAGTAGATATTTACGTAAATATTTATTAAAGTTGTTGGAAGTACTCCTACTTATGATGGAATAGTATAGCCTCACGTCAAACTGGAGTAAACTGCACGTTAGACAGAAATCTTATATTTTCAGTAATAACACCTCTTATTGGACAACCTTTGGAGAAGAAGAAAAATGTTTTGAATTTCTAATTTGTAACCGAACAAATTTGTTTTTCTTAAACTTGTGCGTAAAATAAAAGCTAGAGGAGCCAAGAGACCATAAAGTCGGACCAGTAAGGATACATAAGTTTGACACCCTTCTGTTTAGATAGTTCGGTGTGGTGTGAAATCAAATATTTGAATTTCACGCACCTCTGACCCTTTAGTAAAAGTAAATTCAACCTAAAGTCTGACCGCGTCACCGGCTAGTCCAATTGAGTGTCTGCTTTATTTACCCAATGTCCGGACAACACAGTACAAACTGGGACCGGTAAGGTTGACACGGTTCGGAAATTCAAATGTACTACGACTGCCCGTGATTTGGATATATTTATCATTTATATTTGTCTAAAGCAAAATTACATTAAACAATATAAAAGTTTACAAACTAATACTCTTTTCTCTGGATATCGCATTTTAAAATTGACAGGGTTTGCCAAAAAAGGTGCAATACAAGACTTTTAGCATGAGTATAGTGGAATTTTTGCGGTGCCAATTTTTTTCCCTGTCTAATTTAGATTGTAAGGCAGAGTTAACTGTTTCGTCACCCAGTATTGATTTGGATACACTTAACATCTTCAAAGTTATAATATAACACATTTAAATTGAATGTATGAAACCAACAAGCTAAATGTAAGAAAAATAATCATAAAATCCACTTAATTTACTAGAAACACTATTTTCTTAAGCTTGCGATCAATTTTAGGTTTTTTTGCCAAGCTTAGAATGTTCCTGTAGTTCTACAGAGTTCCCTTATCACAAGTTTAGACAAATATAAGGGGTACATAAGTTATGATCAGACATAAAAACAAACAAAAAACAGATAAAAGAGATCACTAGTTTTTATTCAAGAAAACGAAACTTGCTTAAAAAGTTTATTGTATATAGTCGTGTTGTATTTTAACAATTTCTTTAAAATGTTGAAGAACTTGCATAGAAGGTTTATTGTATATAGTCGTGTTGTATTTTAACAATTTCTTTAAAATGTTGAAGAACTTGCATAGAAGGTTTATTGTATATAGTCGTGTTGTATTTTAACAATTTCTTTAAAATGTTGAAGAACTTGCATAGAAGGTTTATTGTATATAGTCGTGTTGTATTTTAACAATTTCTTTAAAATGTTGAAGAACTTACATAAAAGGTGTATACAAATTCTCTGAAATTTTCAATAAATTTCTTTCCTTTTCCTCTTTTCTTAAAAGATTGATTACATTGTTTATTGTATAAACCTAGGAAAGCAGGAATAAATATATTCCGTTGATAATTTGTTTGTTGAGGTAAATGATATCCTGCCACCCTGAAACACACGGAATAATGGAGTACAGGTTAAGTCCCAAATACATGGAGTAATGGAGTAAACAGGGTTTAACAAAAAGATGTAATAATGGAATATACAGGTGTCCCAAAAACATGGGATAATGGAATATACAGAGTTTAACAAAGAGGCAGAATAACGAATATAAAAGTGTTTCAAAAACACGGAATAATGGCACATACAGGGTTTAACAAAAAATTGGAATAATGGAATATACAGAGCGTGAAAAGACAGGGAACAATGGAATTTACAGGGTGTAACAAAACACGGAAAAATTGAATATACAATATACAGTGTGTAAGAAACACGGAATAATGGAATATACTGGGTGTAAAAAATACCATGGAATAATGGAACATACTGTGTGTAACAAAAACATGGGATAATGGAATATACAGGGTGTAAAATAAAACATGGAATAATGGAATAAAAAAGGTGTAACAAAAACGTGGAAATGAAGTAGCTAGCGCGCCTTTGATCCACACGGAATTTTTTTGATGAACACAAAAAGTGAATCTGTCAAACAGTTGAATAGGAAGACGACATTTAAACATTCGTAAATGTATTTAGTGTTATTATATGTGTTACCAGTGCATGATAATCAACTTTTAAAGTAAAAAAGGTGTGTGTTCACCGCGCAATTGTCGTGTTTTATGTTCATCTAATCAAGATCATAATTTGAGTCTAAAAGTAGTCTTTCTACTTAGGCGCTTATACAGAGGGGACAGTAGTCTACTTGCCCCCCCCCCATCCTAGGCATCCCAGAGAGGCCTGCCCCCCTCTGGGATTTGTGGTCGAAGGTTTAAATCCGCTGTGGTAGATAAAAAAATGAGCGAAAAGGGGGTGTTTTCCCCTTTAAAGTAGTTGAACAATTTTCATTGCGCTTCGCGCCATTTATTTTTAAATTTTACCTTAGTATTTCCCTTTCATCTAGAATCCCCCCCTTGATAAACAGTTATAGCTATATGCATATGTAAGTCTTTAGCATGTCTTCCCGCAACCCCCATGAAGGCCTAAGGGAAATTACATTAGGAGAATGATAGTCTTCAGGAGACTATACTCAGGACTTTAGAGAGTAATACAGAGGGATAGACTAAAATATATAGTGAGCTTCAACGGGGAGTAGTCTTCATGAGACTACTCAGGACTAATACAGAACTATATACAAAGGAGCATCAGACAATTAAACTTTTTGATCTACAGAATTTATAGTTTAAAATATCAACGGTATATGACATACAAAGATATAGGGATTAGAAAATCTAAGTTTGTGGCAACAACTCAATTTTTAAAGAAGTTAGACAACCCTTATTTTGAAAAGCTCGATAAACTTTTGTTTTGTTTTGAACACCCTGTATTGTAGAAGAAACCAGTAGACTTGGAAAACAATGTTCAATTATGTACATAATACAGTGTGTACAAATATATGTATTCTACGCTGGTACAAAATAAACTTGTTGTTTCTAAAGATTTATCTTTTGAAATATGTATAACTATAGTTTCTTCTGGTTATTTCTGCTTCATTCCAGTTTCCTCTTTTCACTTCTAAATAATAGAAAATTGAGCTTATAAAATATTGGAACGGTTTCCAGAGATCTCAAATATATACATATGTGAACCAAACAAAAGGATATAGGCTCGAAATGGAGATAAATAGGAGCTAAAGCAATGCAACTCGAAGCAGGAGGTAGGAGAATAAAAGTAAGAACGGGATATATATTCTCCAAGGTAAAGGCGCTTCTCAAGAATTACAAACTCTAGGCGGAGTCCCACACATATACGTAGACGATAACTTCTGGTGAAATATATTTCAGTAACGAGGTTTCCTACAAAATACAGATTGTTATTGACGAACAAATGTGAATAATAATTGTTAATAAAATGTAACTATTTGATTGACGAACAAATGTGAATAAAATGTAACTATTTGATTACAACTAATTAAATGTTTATTGAAACTGATAAATAGGAATTTTAAAGGAAAGGTTCTGTTGTGAATCGACCAAGAAATATTTTAAGGTACTGATGGGAATTAATAAATGAAATATTTTAAATGGGTACTATTGTGAATCAAACATGAACTTACGATCTATTGTCGTATAGTACGGGAATAGTGGTTGGAATCGGAGTCTAAACTATTCAATTTCTGAAAAAAAATATTCATTTGGTAAAAATTAATTCACTATTAGTTTGCAAAATGATTCACTGAATTTTAAGCGTAAATTGTTTCTATTTTTTTTACGAATTTAAATCTTATTGTTGCACGAGGATTTTGTTTACGTTTATGCAGAAACCTTGAACAGTATTTGGTTTGGAGAAGAAAGTGGACGGAGGTCTGACGGAGATGTAGTTTGTCAAAGACGACTTTTACAACAGGGTAGTTTATGGGATATGGTTCACAACATAATTTAACATTCTTATTTTTGCGTTTCTTATAGCATAAACTCCATTAACAATCAAACATGTAAATGAAAAGATTTTGTTTATATTAATGTTTATATTGTAAATGTATGGCTGATTTTGATAAATTTTGTACTTTTTTGTAAACCTTTTTAATTCGCTAGGCTATGTCAGCTCCGCGACGAGTGAGATTAGACCCAGCTTCGACGCCAGTTACAAACAAACATTCATTTGAAAGGATTTGTGTCTTTGCAACAAACTCTGATTTTGTAATTTGTATATCTTTGCAACCCCATTTTCGTAGACCCCTCGTAGACCTTTGCTATTTCAAACTGTGAATTCTTCTGGTTTACGCCATCAGGTTTCAGATATAGAGATTAGAAAATTTGAGTTTTTCACAAAAACTCAAATCCTTTGGAAGTCAGTTGTGAATGTGATATTTAAAGTTTTACTATATGGAAATTAAAAAATTGATATTAAGATAATATAACGTTCAAAAGTTCTCAGTTACGGACTGATTACATACAATTAGAGCTCAAAACATTACACACCTTTCATTTTCTTATTTTCTATCTATCTATTGATTTGTAGAATTTTGATAAAACGGTATTTGAGAAAATTTACAAAAAATGTTTCTGGAAACCTTATAATAATTAATAATTAAGATATCATTTATTATATGAATTTGAATTCGCTTCTTATAAAATTACAACATTGTAATTCTTACTCCAGAGCTGAAAACTTAAAAATGGGAGATCCTTAATCAGGATCGGTTAATTAATCTGGAGATTAATAACAAGAGGCGAACAAGCATTATTTAATCTGGAGATTAAGAAAAAGAGTGGATTAAGCATTAATCCCGATATTTAGTATTTAAAAATTCCCAACTAAGGATATAAAAATAAATTATAAATACCAAAAATACGCCTTAAAGGGACTGTAGATGTAACTTATAACTAAACCTTAATTTTTATAGACTTGTACTTCCGATTCACAACAGTACCCTTTAAGCCTCGTTTTTAACTAACTTATTAGTGAATACTTTCAAAAGTTATTACCTTAACACAAATAAGTTATGCGGCAAATACCATAAAAAAGTTTTCAGAAATCTACACATTTGAAGATTAAAATTATAGAATCAATTCTTCTCATTGTTATTTACAAAAAGATTTCAGGGGTACATATAAATTGACAATCACTTGAAACTACTTCGTTAGACACTTTTATTTTAAAGATATGAAGTTGTTGAAACCTAATATTCTTCATAATTCTATATTTTCTGGAATATTTTCTTATATCGAATTCCAATATTAGATATATATCATCTATAGATTCTAAGGTTATACTGGAACTATAGAATTAATATTTGTTTAATATCAATCTAATATTATTATTATCATTAAAGTAAAAGAACTTTTACCACAAAATCAAATTTTCTAAAAAAAATGTATATGTTCTGCAGCTGTAAACTGTAAACCTTTGATATTTCAAACTTACACAATTCTATCCAAGATAATTCATAGTTTGAAATATCAAAGGTCTACATAAGATCGGGTTGCAAAGAGATAGAAATTAGAAAATCAAAGTTTGTAAATATCTGTTAGAAATCAGTTAAAAACAAGTTATCAATTCTAAGGTTGGAAAATATAGATTTAATATTTGTTTTAAATAATTCTGATACTTTTATTTTAATCTTTAAAGTAAACTAGTTAATCTTTGCAACCACTGGGTTGGGTTATGATATTTCAAACTATGAATTTTGTAAGATCAAATAGCCTAAATTAGAAATATCGAAGCTTTACATCACAAGTATAGGGATCAAAAAATCTGAGTTTGTGACAAAGACTAAATTCCTTTAAATTTTTTTTTTCAAAAGAATGTGTCAAATCTTTCCTTGGGATAATTTGAACGACGAATATTTCCCTATATATGATAATTGAAGGACTGCAGTATGGTTTTGGTGAATTACATTGATGCACTAAGCCTAGAGGAGTGAGAAATCATTTTTTTTGCATATTTTTTAAAACGTCCCATACACCTAATAAAGCTTAATTTTAAAATATCTTGATAAGTATTAATAAACATTTCTTTATTCCAAACATTAAACTTTATTAGGTTTAAAGGACGTTTAAAAAATATGCAAAAAGTCATTTCTGACTTCGAGCTAGGTTTAGTGCATCAATATAATTTACCAAAACCATACTGCAGTCCTTCAATTAACATATAGGGAAATATTTCATGTCTCTAATTATTCCAAGGAAATATTTGACGCCTCTTTTTCCATCTACATCTTTACACCAGCAGAAGTATCTAACTTTGCCTGTGCCCAATAGTTTTAAGTTTGCGGAACATTTTTAATAGCTAAAATAATATCTTATTTCAAAATGTGTATTGTTAAATTTTTGTATTGCACCTTGTATTTACTTAATTTTCAAGGATTTCATTCTAAGGAAAAATAATAAAAGTTATGAAGTGCAGGGGTTTTCAGGTTTTTTTTACATTAACGCCACACTTTTAAATCTTTATTAAATCTAATTTAATTTTTAATTTTGGCTTTTAAGTAATTTTCTGAGATTCTTGTAACAGATGCAGAGTTATTTACAAAGGAAGAGACTTCATGGACGACTATACGGAATTTATTCTGTCCTTTTTTCTACATTAATGGTTCCCTGAAACTATAAACTATTGTCTATCTTTGATAATTCAATAAAATACCTTTATATGGTTATATTCAACACGTTGTAACAAAATCATCCTTTACCTTGTCGTATTTTTATGTCGTCTTCAAAGTCTCCTCCGTTGTAGGTAACCCTGTATTCATAACTATAATATTATGCCACTTTTTTTATTTTCAGAACGGATACGTTCTTCGGCAATTATGCTTATTTATGTGAACAACAAAATTGATTTTTAATCCGAACCATTTTTCTGAGACAACCTTGTAATGTAAAGTAAAGTTCTGACGCAGAACATCAAAAGAACACTCAAGTATCATTTCCACCTTTTAATAGATCAAATACATTCCAACTACATTCACTACATTTTATCTGAGATTATTCTTTTTGATGCAAAAGTTTAATTAGGTCCATACTATAGATGCAGAAATCTGTAGGCGGTTGGCTCAATTCCGATATTTTTCAATATTAGTGCACATGGTTTTAGCAGCCTGGATAAGGAAATTTCAAGAAAAACTAAAAAAAAATTATTTTCATGAATGCATGATTATCATTAAAAATTGTCTTAAACTGCAACTGGACTTAATTGACGAGTCATTGTGTTATTTGCTATTCACTCGAAATGTATTTTATAAGCACGAAGTATGTGTAAGGGTCTTTTCACCATAGAGTACATTTTTACAGAAAAAAAATCTTTAAGTGAAGTAATTTTTTAACAACCCTCAATTATTAAATTCTGAGTCCGATTCACAACGGTACCATTTTAACCTTTGACTGATGAAAGATTTCCTTCTTTTGTCTAGTTGAAAATTTAATATTTTTAATCGTGGTCATTTGCATATTTCATATGTATGCTTCAAGACAAAAACAGAATTTTAAGATAAAAAACCCCGATATCCTCATCACATTACTCAGATAAAGGTTTTGAGGGTATTGTTGTGAATTATTCAATCCTGAGTTTAGAACATCATACTTCAAATGTTCGATCTGATGGTGCAATCGAAAACCTTTCATCATGTTAACGTGGAAAACAATTTTATTCAATTTTGAGGGAAATTATCACACCTAATATTTCCGATTGTAGGGCGATAAAGTGACTTTTTCGCCCTACAGTTACAATAAAAAATTTTAAATGTAAATAAAGGGAACAAAAAATAATTTCTTCCTACATCGTTTTTGTTCCTTCATTAGATCGGAATTTTTTTTTAGGTAATAGCTAAAAAAAATGGAATGGAAACATAGGACTCTGCAGGTTTCCATTACTCTGATAAAACTACAATGCATCAGCTAGAGAAACTTTAAACGTACATAAAATTTTCCACATGCATGCATCAGCATGATATGAAATTTATGTCTGTCCCTATTGTATCGAAAATCGTTTAAGCATAATTTTAATGTCCAAACAAAACGTCCAAAAAGTTAATTAAATACTCAGATTATTTGTTGAGAGACACCCTGCACAATGAACATAGCAATCTTTATATGGAGGGTAACTTGAAATCAATAATTATTATTCTAATTCTAATATAAGCGTAGTTTTAAGTAACCATTCATGCAAAGATAGCAATGTACAATTCACACCGGTACCCTTAAAACCTTGATCTGATCAAATATGTGAAATATTATAACGTCATTTTTTTCTGTGAACTTTTTCATTGTTTCTTATAAGCAAGAAATGCGCAATTTTACATTACCTTAAAAAAATATTTATTTTTTGTTGCAAAGTTCTAGATTAACTTTTGCAAACTTCATTTTTCAATGCCACGGATATAAAGGAAATAAAAATGTAAATGTGCAAGATTAAAGAAAACCGTGAAAATCTCAAGATAAAAAAGAAGAGACTGAGAAAGAATGACTTTGTAATCAGCTAGAATCCTTTTCCTTTAAAATTTGGGATCATCAAGGATCATGGAATTTCATGGAGGATGATTCGACCCGTTTCGATTCTCCATGCATATTTTGTTGACTGGTTCTCCATTTAAAATTATTGTTTAAATGTCGTCTTTTTCTTGCCTGATGATTATATACTATGACTTCTGTTAGATCAACTAATCTAAATTTGATGTATACCAAATGTTTACACTATTAAAAAATTTGAGTTTTTACAAAGACTCAATCCCTTTACATTAAGCAATTAGAATAGGTCATTTCAACGAGGTTATAGTGTATAGAGTGATGATGTACGCTAATCCTTTACTAATTGTACAGGCCATGTACTCCACTTTCAAAGGTCAATCTGTATATTACAGTACTTGGAGGTGATTTCTGAAAATATTTATTTTTACATAAGCAGAAATAGGTTTTCAATAAAAAAAACTTAATAAAACTGTGGC